ATTTGCCTGTGTATATTTTTTGTCACAGAAACTATGTGTTGAGTTAGTAGATTTAATTGTAAATTCTCTTTGTACTGTAAAAATAAATAAAAAATAATTAATCCGAGTCCTTTTGCTAATTAAAATAAAATATACAAAAAAATTATATAAGGGTAGTATATTATTAAAATAAGATTGTAGGGTAGTATGCTTTGTAAGTATTAATTCAAATGTTAAATATTATAATTTACATTAGTATCCTTAAATAATGTGAGCGAAACTTCAATAATGAGTATAGGTAATAGTATCCAGAAAGGTATCAGAACATGATACATACTTAAATTTAAGAATTCATATTCCAGTTTTAAGCATACTATTACTTGAAAAGTAAGTTTTAAGCACACAACAAGGATAAATAAATTATTCTTATTTTCTAAAATTGTCCATAGATTCTCATGTTTACAATGGATAATGATGTTCACAACCGAGTCTATCAGTAGTATCATATCGTAAACCCACATAGGTAAAAATATTATAAACCAATTCCAATGTGTTCGTGACTCAAGTCGAAGACAAAGAAGCACGAAAAATATAAGCACTATAAACCATGTAAACAATGCCCTATGCATTACCATCTTTATATGTGTAAATGACAGTTGTTATTACCATCTCTTTCTATTAATTTAGATGATTAGTTAAATATTTATCCTTTTCACTTTTAATTATTAATAAAAGGGTTTTACTAATATTAAACTATCACAAAAACAAGGGTTATGTTGATTGTCAAAACCACTAATGTAAATATATAGTAAAAATATAACCCAATGAATTTCTTGAAGAAAAAACAGTAACAGATAAGAACATTTTAACATTAATATAATATGTAAAAAAAATATATAAAATTAGAAGTTTAACAAATTAGATATTTAATCTGATTATTTCAGTTAAATTATCTTTCTTTCAAATTCGTTTTAAAAATCCCTTAATAAAATAACTGTAGGGTATATAACCACCACATTGTATATCTATTATCTTTGTATCTATGTTTTTTACCTAACCAAACAAATAGGTTCGATGAATAGGTTATTTGCCTGTAGTTTTGTATCCAAATATCATCCAATTCTAATATGATTTTTATGTCTGTACTACTTACATCTTGTGTTAAATTACTGCTTGTGCCATCTTAGTGAGTTATAAATTGCTAATGCATTGAAATAGTATGAGAAGATGTTCAATTCTAGCCATTCAACCGATTTTGAAGTACATCGAAATTGGTTAGCAATAACTCACAATTTGCCTACTAAAAGATGGTATTTTGAAGATACTTCAGAATGGACATTGGATTATCCTCCATTATTTGCTTGGTTCGAATGTTTTTTATCGTATGTAGCTAAATTATTTGATCCCAACATGTTGCATTTAGATAACCTAAATTATGCTTCTGAGGCTACTGTACTGTTTCAAAGATTGTCTGTGATATTAACTGACTTGGTATATGCTTATGGAACACATCAGTAAGTCTAATAAATTTAATTCTTGTCAGCTCAATTACAGTGAAAAATTGAAAATTTAGGTGTAGCATGTCCTTAAAAAGTGGCTGGAAAACTGAAGTTGTTTTAACATTACTGTTAATCTCCAATGTAGGATTGTTAATGGTAGATCACATACATTTTCAGTACAATGGATTTTTGTATGGTATTCTGTTACTGTCTGTTGCAAATATGATTCAGGCAATTATTTTTCAATCTTAGCATGTATATTCATTAATTAATTTAATTCTTCAGGGAAAGTACTTAAAAGGTGCGTTTTGGTTTACAATATTAATAAATTTAAAACATATTTATATTTACATGGGTCCCACATATTTTGTGTACCTTTTGCATAATTATTGCTTTGATAAAGTACACAAAAGTAGCAGTTTCAAAGACTTACTCAACTCTTTCTCTTTTATAAACACTGCTAAATTAGGAGCAGTTGTAATTGGAGTCTTTTTAGTAACTTATTTGCCGTTTATTGATCAATTAGGACAAGTAAGTTATTAATTACTGTTTTCTTTTGAAATTTACTGTTTAAAAAGTAAATAAGAACAGCATGTGTATATATAAAGAAGTTTGTAAAATATTTGTTCTTATTTATTTTACATTTTGAATAGAAGTTTTTATTAGATTAGTGTTATAGATAAATAAGGCNTTGTAGGGTAGTATGCTTTGTAAGTATTAATTCAAATGTTAAATATTATAATTTACATTAGTATCCTTAAATAATGTGAGCGAAACTTCAATAATGAGTATAGGTAATAGTATCCAGAAAGGTATCAGAACATGATACATACTTAAATTTAAGAATTCATATTCCAGTTTTAAGCATACTATTACTTGAAAAGTAAGTTTTAAGCACACAACAAGGATAAATAAATTATTCTTATTTTCTAAAATTGTCCATAGATTCTCATGTTTACAATGGATAATGATGTTCACAACCGAGTCTATCAGTAGTATCATATCGTAAACCCACATAGGTAAAAATATTATAAACCAATTCCAATGTGTTCGTGACTCAAGTCGAAGACAAAGAAGCACGAAAAATATAAGCACTATAAACCATGTAAACAATGCCCTATGCATTACCATCTTTATATGTGTAAATGACAGTTGTTATTACCATCTCTTTCTATTAATTTAGATGATTAGTTAAATATTTATCCTTTTCACTTTTAATTATTAATAAAAGGGTTTTACTAATATTAAACTATCACAAAAACAAGGGTTATGTTGATTGTCAAAACCACTAATGTAAATATATAGTAAAAATATAACCCAATGAATTTCTTGAAGAAAAAACAGTAACAGATAAGAACATTTTAACATTAATATAATATGTAAAAAAAANTGCAAAAGATTATCATTGCTGAATATACGTTATAGGTTCAAACTTACAGTAAAGATCGACATAAGATTCGTCTTGAGATCAGGTTTCTTGCATAATTTTTGCAAAGCGTTATTAACAGTTTGTCTCTCATCGAAATTGAGGAAGTTTCGTGTACAGTCTTTTGCTGGAACGTGTTGTAATGGTATTATTAGAGGAGCCCTATGAAGACATGCTTGGGTAAATGCTTCTTCGACAGTTTCACAGAATCTCTTGTAATCAACGCAGCAGCAACGTTTCGGTGAAGAAAATCTTAAAATTATATTTAAAAAATGTTCATATTTAAATGTGAATATACACTTACATCTTGTGTTAAATTACTGCTTGTGCCATCTTAGTGAGTTATAAATTGCTAATGCATTGAAATAGTATGAGAAGATGTTCAATTCTAGCCATTCAACCGATTTTGAAGTACATCGAAATTGGTTAGCAATAACTCACAATTTGCCTACTAAAAGATGGTATTTTGAAGATACTTCAGAATGGACATTGGATTATCCTCCATTATTTGCTTGGTTCGAATGTTTTTTATCGTATGTAGCTAAATTATTTGATCCCAACATGTTGCATTTAGATAACCTAAATTATGCTTCTGAGGCTACTGTACTGTTTCAAAGATTGTCTGTGATATTAACTGACTTGGTATATGCTTATGGAACACATCAGTAAGTCTAATAAATTTAATTCTTGTCAGCTCAATTACAGTGAAAAATTGAAAATTTAGGTGTAGCATGTCCTTAAAAAGTGGCTGGAAAACTGAAGTTGTTTTAACATTACTGTTAATCTCCAATGTAGGATTGTTAATGGTAGATCACATACATTTTCAGTACAATGGATTTTTGTATGGTATTCTGTTACTGTCTGTTGCAAATATGATTCAGGCAATTATTTTTCAATCTTAGCATGTATATTCATTAATTAATTTAATTCTTCAGGGAAAGTACTTAAAAGGTGCGTTTTGGTTTACAATATTAATAAATTTAAAACATATTTATATTTACATGGGTCCCACATATTTTGTGTACCTTTTGCATAATTATTGCTTTGATAAAGTACACAAAAGTAGCAGTTTCAAAGACTTACTCAACTCTTTCTCTTTTATAAACACTGCTAAATTAGGAGCAGTTGTAATTGGAGTCTTTTTAGTAACTTATTTGCCGTTTATTGATCAATTAGGACAAGTAAGTTATTAATTACTGTTTTCTTTTGAAATTTACTGTTTAAAAAGTAAATAAGAACAGCATGTGTATATATAAAGAAGTTTGTAAAATATTTGTTCTTATTTATTTTACATTTTGAATAGAAGTTTTTATTAGATTAGTGTTATAGATAAATAAGGCAAATATTTAGAAATAGGGCTCCAGAGAAATATCACTCTAAACTAATTTTTTTGTACTCGAAATTATTCTGTAGGGTAGATGTAGATGTTTAATGGTGAAAGAGACACTATTATATATACATTTATAAAAAATTGAATTGCCGACTGACTCAAACATTATATTATGGCTATTATTTACAGAAATCTACGGGATTTTCTGCTTAACTCAATTTCAAATATAATAATGACGTTTGAGTTATACATGTATAGATACGCTGGATGTATTGATACAATAATGGCCTTTCACTTCGTTTGTGTTGCGTTTTCCTATTGTACCTTACGATTGTATTAGTAATGAAATAAAAGCATTCTTCGGTTAAAGTCATTTAGGAACACGTGACCTGACGTATCCTAACCGAACTGTAACTGGATTTATTTGATTGCTTTGGATAATGTTACAGTAAGAAAAGACAACACAAACAAAGTGAGTTTTGAAGGTGTATTATTCTGGAGCCTCAGTTATAAATATTTGCCTCAAATAATTACTGTTTAATATTTGAAGGTATTATCACGTTTGTTTCCATTTAAAAGGGGCTTGTGCCATGCATACTGGGCCCCAAATATTTGGGCTGTTTACAACGTACTTGATAAAGGTGCTTTTATATCAGGTATGAAGAGGCGCGTATACAGCTTAACTTTATAACTCGTATTGTTTTTTTAATTTGTCACCATTTGCAGCAAAACAAATGGGATTTAATGTTACCTCATCTCCTGCAGTGATGACAGGTGGTCTGGTGCAGGAATTTTCCCATAGCATACTACCAAATATCACACCATTTGTTACATTAATCATAACCGCCTTCTTCATGCTGCCTGGGTGCATTAAATTATGGTCGTATGGTAATTCCCGTGATAATTTTGTAAGAAGTTTAATTTTGTGTTCATTAACATCTTTTCTGTTTGGTTGGCACGTTCATGAGAAGGCCATATTGATGACAATAATACCACTAAGGTAGAAATTAATAATTTAATTAATGATTAACAAAAGCTGTCAACGTCTTTTTATTTACAGCATTTTGTCCATCTTTGATCGTGAAGATGCAAAAATATTCCTGTTATTGTCTGCTGTGGGACATTACTCATTATTTCCACTTCTTTTTCCCCGATCCTTGATAGTTGTTAAAGTCCTCTTGTATGTTGTATACACTACTTATGAGTTTTATAGTTTATCTTATCTGTTCCCTTTACGCAAACGTCAGCACTACACACTGCCTTTGTTAAACTTTTACGAAAGTTTCTACTTGTTTTCCTTAGTACCTTTGTTTCTTTACGAAAATTTTATCCATAGTTTTTTAGGATTGTCGAAAACGCTTCCTTTTTTACCCCTGATGACTACGTCAGTGTATTGCTCCTTTGGAATTATTTATTGTTGGGCAAAATACTTTAAATACTTTTTTGAAAATGACAAATCGAAAATAAAGAAGTAACACTTTGTATTTTGTTACTTTTATTTATTTTAAAAAAATAATATTTTTCAAAAGACAAATAATGAACAGATGGAACACGGAAGCAGAGAAGTATACCTGCTTAAATTTCCTTAAAATATTTATTAATGATAATTTAGAACGGTAGATGTTTATCATTGGCGTGTAAAATGTCCAGGAGCTTCATAAACGCTCTGTAGTCCACTTCATCCCTCATACCTCTCTCGAACCCAAATGCTTTACAGACCGCATCGAATTCCTTCCTCGAAATCATATCGGCCATATTCCTGAGTGACAGGGCCTTCATGAACATATGCTGGGACACAGTACCACATTTCGTTTTATCGTAATCCTAAAAAACAAAACAACACATTGTGTTATAATGTTATTTAAATCTTATACTGGTTAATAAAAAATACATAAAAAATGAGTTTTCACTTATGTATGTATTCAAATTAACTGCAAAAGATTATCATTGCTGAATATACGTTATAGGTTCAAACTTACAGTAAAGATCGACATAAGATTCGTCTTGAGATCAGGTTTCTTGCATAATTTTTGCAAAGCGTTATTAACAGTTTGTCTCTCATCGAAATTGAGGAAGTTTCGTGTACAGTCTTTTGCTGGAACGTGTTGTAATGGTATTATTAGAGGAGCCCTATGAAGACATGCTTGGGTAAATGCTTCTTCGACAGTTTCACAGAATCTCTTGTAATCAACGCAGCAGCAACGTTTCGGTGAAGAAAATCTTAAAATTATATTTAAAAAATGTTCATATTTAAATGTGAATATACAAACATACATTTCTGTTATGGTTTCCATTTCACAGGGTGTTAGGGCAAAACCAGCAGCGGACAAAGCCCTCTCGAAGTCTGCTCTGTGAATGACCTCCTCGTTACATCTATCGTAATCCCTCATAAATTGCATAATATTAACTCTTTCTCTGACGACTTTTCCTTTAATTTTCGCTAACACTTGAATTATGTCCTTTTCGTCGTTTGTGCCCGGTCGCGGACGTTTCGGCGCGTTCACCTTTTTCATTTCTTCCACATATCCAGCGTACTATAAATTAATTAGTATTAAAAAAATGTTATTGTTTTTATTAACGGCCCTCGATTAAATTTCATTTGACGCGCCATAAAATAATAATGGTAACAAACAGTACCAAAGGTTCTTCTTCCATTTTTGGTTCAACTTCTCGAAGGAACCAGAAATAATTGAAACCAACATCGTCGTTAAATCGTTCTTCGAGTGCATAAAGTTCTTCGTCTGACAATAATATTCCACTCGCTAGGATGGATTGACGCATTTGGGACCTCGATACATGACCGTTATTGTTCCTGTAAAAAAAAAAGATTTATATACTGAAGTTTTCCTCCTAACTAAATAGTATTAATCACTTGTCATAGTCTCTGAACCAAGGTTTGAGTAATATGCCTCTTTTCATAGTTTTGTTCTTGACTTTTTCGACCGCCTCCTCACATAAATCTCTCATTGGGGGTTGCACGTTATCCCAAACTTTTGCACCCATTTTAGGAAGATTAGCCACCTCCTGGGGGGGTTTTTCAATTTCTGGAGATGGACATTTCTCCAATTCCTATATGTATAATTGTTTATTAACAAATTAAAATAGTTTATGATGCCACTATGTAAATACAAAACCCCTACAGCTTTTTCAAAAGGTAGTATTAGTGGATAAATGGATAAGATCGCTTTTTTCTTAATTTTAATTTTCTGTTTTTATTGTTTGTGGATTTACCTGAGTAGTGAACACTTGATTTACGTCATCTTCAAAAGTTTTCCAACAAACTCTTCCAGCGTCAATGGGGTCCTTGTACTGAGTTACGATCGTTTCAATTTCGGGTAACGACAGGTACAATCGGTGAAGGCCACTTATACCTATCGCGTCCAAACAACGATGAAATTGTGACACCGTTACTTTGCCGCATCGCAGGGGGTCAAAATCCTAAAAAGAAACCACTGGACTTCCTAACAAGTTAAATAATTATTTGAAAATAATCTAATCTTGTATGACAAAATTATTGTAATTTTTCAGTTTAATATTAAAAAAAAAAACATTTAAAACTTTGCACGTAACACTTGGTACAAATGCCTGCAGAAAAATAAATAAATTATCTTACTTCGAAAAATTCCGAAAGTCTTATTCTGTTTTCAAGTATATGCCTTTGTATTCTTGTCATCAGAGTCATTAGATCTCTTTGTTCTTTCGGCGGTTCCAGAGCAGGGTGGAAAATGCTTTGTTTTCCGAAAATCGAGGCAGCCAAAATTTTTCCAATTTCTGGTCGAGGTAATTTTGGCAATTCAGCTGATATTACTCTTCCAGGAAATTGACTTACAACATCCTTGAAAAAGAAAGAATAAAATATTTCTTTTAAAGACTTTGCAACCTTACTCCTCCAAGGTCCAAAATTCCATACGCTTCCATATACTTAATGGTATTATCTATATCGTTCACAAATGCCATGTAATTTATGGTATATCCATCCTTTTGGTATCTTTTAATTAAAAGATTAAAATCATCTGCGGATACCAAAATTTTCAAGTAATCCAAAATACGCGCAAAATGAGCTATTGTAACGGTGCCATTATTTTTCGTTACCTACCAATTTATTACTCAATTAAATTAATTAGGAGTAACTTGTAGAGCAAATATTTACTAATTCGTAATCTTGGAAAAAGGGCATTAACAATAACTTCCTAAGATTAACTATGGACGCTATTTTAGTAATAAGAACGCTTAATCTTCTTTCTTCTGTGCCACTTAGGCGGTTAACTTGCAAGGGGTCTTCCCATTCCAAGCCGCTTACCAGTGGTTCATTTTTAGAAAAATCTGGAACTTTTTTAAAAAATCGCGTCGTTTTCAGATCTTTTGTACATTTTTGCGGAATGTATACTCACCACTTCCATGAATTACTTCACATAACTGCCTGTACAATATTCGACCATCAGGTACTTTAAAATAATCAGCAAGTTCACTAATTTCTTGATCTGATAACGCCAAAACTATTTTTAAAGGACCCGATAGTACTGAAGTAAACTGCGATTCTAAAATGTCAATACGGTTAGTGAAGGGAATAATATGAGTATTTTTTATTATTTACCTGTAATAAGATTTGTTTTTCCATGGTCCAATGGCAAATAATATTCCCACAAATTCAAACCAACGCGAAAAATAGCCGATCGAATTTTATTACATGATCTCCAAACATTGCCCAATTTAATTTCCTGAAATTTTGCAAAAAAGCGTTAATAAAAAAAGAATATTTTATCTTTCTGCTGATATTACTTTACAATGAGGCATTTTCGCTTTTTACTTCCCTCCTACCGAAATTTTCATGTAAAGTCATAAACCTACGTTTAATTATGATTCGTTATTCAATTTTTAATTAACCCACTTGAAATACTACAATAAAAAGTTTTTAAAATTAAGCGGTTCCCGCCTTTAATAATTCCCGCCATTTATGACATTAATACTTTTCAAGGTTACATGGAAATAAAAATTTTGCTGGTCATGCCAGTTCATGACCGATTCTTCATCCATAATCCTACCTTCCACCGAAGGGAGCGAGCATATTCTATCTTTCTCTTATGTTGCTTATTTCTTTTTCTTTTCCGGTTGTATTTGAATTTGATTGGCTGAAACGTACGATTTGAAGCGCCCTCATCGATTGCGGTCGTTTAGCATTACTCAGCGTCCTTTTCTTGGAGTAAGTTGTGTAGTGAAGTGTTAGATTTTCATCAGGAAAAATTTAAGCTCTTTTTAGAGAAAAAAAATGGCAAATCAAGATTGTCCTATGGAAAACGGAGAGGACTTTTCACAGGACGTACAGGCAGATCAAAATTTCCAACAGAATGACCAAATGAATGGACAACAGCAAAACGGAGGCGCAGGAGATGCGTCTCAAATGGCCGACAGTGGAAGTGCAGATACGCCAGGCCGAGACGACGACAGGTAGGTCTATTTAGCAATGCTTTAGTACAATTCGTTAGTTTATTGAGACATATCGATGTAGGAAACTGTTAAATAGGAATTAAATTTGTATTTTTTTTCACAACAGTATTTGATGACCGGCCGAGTATAGTTAGTAAACATTATTCTTGAATCATCTCGATTCTGGTGGTTCAGTTTTCTATTCTAGCTTAAAATCTAACTGTACTTGTAGACTTTGTAACCGATTAATTTTTTATTTTGTTGTTTTTGTCAGTAACTAATTTGTTACGAATTCTTCGATTTTTCTGAACCCGAACCAAACGGAAAAGGGAAAATGGCGGATCACACACAAGTGTTGTCAATCAGCAAATCTAATCTTTTAAATTTGTAAAGGATTGCGCAGAACGATGCCCCTTCAATATTCGGAAGTTCCATTATTTTCAGCTGTTGTACTGTTTCTTGACGTTGTCGTACCGAAGCCTTTGCCTTGTCTTACATGAGTGAATTAAAGTAAAGACATGTTCGAATCTCACAATCAGTACTATTTCACGGTAAAGTTTTAAGTCTCGTTCGTGATGGTGTAGGCTGACAGGATTTAAAGAACGATGTCTTTACATTAACCAGACTTCCTTTCCTTCAGGTGTCAGCCAATGGTGTAAAGGAGCTGAGAGGACCCGAGTGGACATGTGTCATGGACCCATGGTATTTATCCTTGGGCATTACTACCCGTCACTCAGTAACACACTCGTCACATTCTTAAATTGCCTTTAATTCGTTTAAAGGGCCGTCAATTAAGAACTGACCTAATTTTTAAATTTTTTCTCTAGTCTATTTGCAGTTAAAATTGGACTTTAAATTTTCAGATTTTCTATTTTACACATTTTTTAGCCTCTTATCGTTTGAATGATGATAAGTTTGTTGTCAAGATTTATAGCCTTCGGTTTGAACGAACTTGGATCAGTCTCTCTCTCTGTCTCTCACTTTGCTGCTCAATTTTTATTAGTACATATTTCTTTTACACCTGATTAGCCGTTTGTAAATTATTAAAGTTGTACATTAATTTTGTTAAAAAGTAAGAAAGAAACGGTCATTTTAGGATGCTTTAAACGGCCGATCGATCTATTTTCCTCTCATTATCACTTTTTTGTTCACAGAAAATTATTTGTTGGAGGTTTAAGCTGGGAAACTACAGAAAGTAAGTTCATATTTTATTTCATAGTTGTATGCATATATATATATATACACGTACTTCCATAATGAAAAATTCAAAAGACAACATTTTGAATTTTTGTAATTCGATTTTAGAGGGTTAATTTTTTTTTCGCTTTCGTTTTACAGAAGAACTTAGGGAACATTTCGGCCAGTATGGCGAGATCGAAAGTATTAACGTTAAGACAGATCCGAATACAGGCAGGTCGCGGGGCTTCGCGTTCATCGTTTTCAATACCGCCGAAGCAATCGACAAAGTTTCGTCCGCCGGCGATCACATCATTAACAACAAGAAGGTTGATCCCAAAAAGGCGAAAGCACGACACGGGAAAATCTTTGTTGGTGGTCTTACCACTGATCTATCCGATGACGACATCAAGAACTACTTTAGACAGTTTGGAAATGTAAGTGCTGTTGCTTCTAAATCACTTTCATAGTTCATAGTGGTCACTTTTCCTGGAATATCAAACGATTTATTTTTGCAATAGTTTTNAAGTAAGTTATTAATTACTGTTTTCTTTTGAAATTTACTGTTTAAAAAGTAAATAAGAACAGCATGTGTATATATAAAGAAGTTTGTAAAATATTTGTTCTTATTTATTTTACATTTTGAATAGAAGTTTTTATTAGATTAGTGTTATAGATAAATAAGAAATGTTTCGTTTAAAATATATTAGTTTGATTGACTACTTTTTAGAAAAACCACTAAAAAAACAGTCGTTTTTGAAACTCCTTATTACTTTACGAATAACGAAGGAAAATAGGGCGGAGAAAATTATTAAGTGAATCGCTATGTACTGTCGATATAAATAATCAGTCAGAAATAAATGTATAGGCAAGTTAGAATCCTTATTTAATTAAACCATGACTTTGTATCTATATTCACAGTTAAAAATTCTATTAAGAAAATTTGATAGAAACAGTTGCCCTTTTGAAAAAAAAAAAAATTATCCTAACAGAACATTAAGAAAAATGAACAACACAAAAAGTATGTTCAAAAGAATTCAGTGTTTTACAAAAAAATATTCAAATGACCTAAATGTAAATGATGCTAAAGTTTCACTTATAAAACTGCTTCTTTATGCATTCACATTTTTTCTTTTTTGGAGCATAACTTTAAGCATCATACACATTTAACAGGATTCTTTTTGCATTTTTGTTTATTGATTTTTTTTAAAATTTCTCATCGTTGATATTTTGAAAGCATTCAAAACGAAAGGGCATCTTTTTCTTAATAATTAAACATTTCTAAAGAGTTCTAAAAGTTAATTTCATTGGTCTAACATACTATAAATGCAAATTATGTAGAAATAATGCCGTATTTTCGTTTTAGTATAACAAAATTAATTTTATTTGTACAAAAATCAAATATATACATTTTTTGGTATACTTTGTATTAGTAAGACCATATGGCGAGTAAAATGTTATTTTATAGTTGTTTAAAGATTGGAATTAGTGCTTTTCGNCTTCCCTCCTACCGAAATTTTCATGTAAAGTCATAAACCTACGTTTAATTATGATTCGTTATTCAATTTTTAATTAACCCACTTGAAATACTACAATAAAAAGTTTTTAAAATTAAGCGGTTCCCGCCTTTAATAATTCCCGCCATTTATGACATTAATACTTTTCAAGGTTACATGGAAATAAAAATTTTGCTGGTCATGCCAGTTCATGACCGATTCTTCATCCATAATCCTACCTTCCACCGAAGGGAGCGAGCATATTCTATCTTTCTCTTATGTTGCTTATTTCTTTTTCTTTTCCGGTTGTATTTGAATTTGATTGGCTGAAACGTACGATTTGAAGCGCCCTCATCGATTGCGGTCGTTTAGCATTACTCAGCGTCCTTTTCTTGGAGTAAGTTGTGTAGTGAAGTGTTAGATTTTCATCAGGAAAAATTTAAGCTCTTTTTAGAGAAAAAAAATGGCAAATCAAGATTGTCCTATGGAAAACGGAGAGGACTTTTCACAGGACGTACAGGCAGATCAAAATTTCCAACAGAATGACCAAATGAATGGACAACAGCAAAACGGAGGCGCAGGAGATGCGTCTCAAATGGCCGACAGTGGAAGTGCAGATACGCCAGGCCGAGACGACGACAGGTAGGTCTATTTAGCAATGCTTTAGTACAATTCGTTAGTTTATTGAGACATATCGATGTAGGAAACTGTTAAATAGGAATTAAATTTGTATTTTTTTTCACAACAGTATTTGATGACCGGCCGAGTATAGTTAGTAAACATTATTCTTGAATCATCTCGATTCTGGTGGTTCAGTTTTCTATTCTAGCTTAAAATCTAACTGTACTTGTAGACTTTGTAACCGATTAATTTTTTATTTTGTTGTTTTTGTCAGTAACTAATTTGTTACGAATTCTTCGATTTTTCTGAACCCGAACCAAACGGAAAAGGGAAAATGGCGGATCACACACAAGTGTTGTCAATCAGCAAATCTAATCTTTTAAATTTGTAAAGGATTGCGCAGAACGATGCCCCTTCAATATTCGGAAGTTCCATTATTTTCAGCTGTTGTACTGTTTCTTGACGTTGTCGTACCGAAGCCTTTGCCTTGTCTTACATGAGTGAATTAAAGTAAAGACATGTTCGAATCTCACAATCAGTACTATTTCACGGTAAAGTTTTAAGTCTCGTTCGTGATGGTGTAGGCTGACAGGATTTAAAGAACGATGTCTTTACATTAACCAGACTTCCTTTCCTTCAGGTGTCAGCCAATGGTGTAAAGGAGCTGAGAGGACCCGAGTGGACATGTGTCATGGACCCATGGTATTTATCCTTGGGCATTACTACCCGTCACTCAGTAACACACTCGTCACATTCTTAAATTGCCTTTAATTCGTTTAAAGGGCCGTCAATTAAGAACTGACCTAATTTTTAAATTTTTTCTCTAGTCTATTTGCAGTTAAAATTGGACTTTAAATTTTCAGATTTTCTATTTTACACATTTTTTAGCCTCTTATCGTTTGAATGATGATAAGTTTGTTGTCAAGATTTATAGCCTTCGGTTTGAACGAACTTGGATCAGTCTCTCTCTCTGTCTCTCACTTTGCTGCTCAATTTTTATTAGTACATATTTCTTTTACACCTGATTAGCCGTTTGTAAATTATTAAAGTTGTACATTAATTTTGTTAAAAAGTAAGAAAGAAACGGTCATTTTAGGATGCTTTAAACGGCCGATCGATCTATTTTCCTCTCATTATCACTTTTTTGTTCACAGAAAATTATTTGTTGGAGGTTTAAGCTGGGAAACTACAGAAAGTAAGTTCATATTTTATTTCATAGTTGTATGCATATATATATATATACACGTACTTCCATAATGAAAAATTCAAAAGACAACATTTTGAATTTTTGTAATTCGATTTTAGAGGGTTAATTTTTTTTTCGCTTTCGTTTTACAGAAGAACTTAGGGAACATTTCGGCCAGTATGGCGAGATCGAAAGTATTAACGTTAAGACAGATCCGAATACAGGCAGGTCGCGGGGCTTCGCGTTCATCGTTTTCAATACCGCCGAAGCAATCGACAAAGTTTCGTCCGCCGGCGATCACATCATTAACAACAAGAAGGTTGATCCCAAAAAGGCGAAAGCACGACACGGGAAAATCTTTGTTGGTGGTCTTACCACTGATCTATCCGATGACGACATCAAGAACTACTTTAGACAGTTTGGAAATGTAAGTGCTGTTGCTTCTAAATCACTTTCATAGTTCATAGTGGTCACTTTTCCTGGAATATCAAACGATTTATTTTTGCAATAGTTTTGAAAATATACTGAGCAATTAAAAGATAAATTTAAAAATAAAAAATTATTAAGAAAATTTAGATAAATAAAGTTAGGAGACTGCTAGTTAGGAGTAATTTTTCAATCTAATTATGTTGCAATTTTGAATAATATTTGTCATTGTGGAGGAAATACAATATACTATTTTTACATAAGTTATAACAATTAGCTGCTAAAAAGTCGCTCTTTTGGTATAATAAATTACATAAAAGTTTGTTACTTATTATGTTGAGTTTAAATGAACCTCCCCTATATGTTTTGTTAAAGTCTTCAAATTGTTCAAAAAATCTGTGATTATGAATAGGAAGACCTACATTATAAAGATCTTATTTTCTAAATAATAGTGGCCACCTTGTATTTAAAAATAAGCAAGGGTTTTTGAATGATAAAAGAAATACTGTATGTTTTTTTTTTCGTATTACAGATCGTAGAAGTAGAAATGCCTTTTGATAAGACGAAAAACCAAAGAAAAGGCTTCTGTTTTATCACTTTTGACTCGGAACAGGTTGTGAACGAGTTATTAAAGACACCAAAGCAGACCATCAAAGATAAAGAGGTAATTTTTTTTTAATTTTTCCTTTAATTTTTCTTAACGCTTTTTTTATTTTCAATAAATTTAAATGTGTGAGATTGTTTTTTCTTCAATATGATGAGTTATAATTGTCAGTTCTGCTACTGATAGTAATTTTGACGAAATTTCTTTTATCTGATATCCTAAAACATAATTTCAATTAATTTATTCTTGTAAATACATGTATTTTTGCAATTTAATTTCTTGTCTTCAGGTTGACGTGAAAAAGGCTACGCCGAAACCTGACGCGATGGGTATGGGTATGGGCATGCGTGGTGGCCGTGGGGGCGGTCGAGGAATGGGCCGTGGTCGGGGTCGTGGAGGCGGTTACGCCCAGAACTGGGGTCAGAACTACGGGGGATACGGTGGTTACAACCAAGGCTACGGCGGCGGCTATGACGGCTACGGCGGTGGCTACGACTACTACGGTGGCGGCTACGGAGGCTACGGAGCAGGATACGGCGGTTACGATTACTCTGGCAATTATGGTAAATACAACCAACACAACAACAACACCACTAGCAAATATGACCCTTTGCTGTGATAATAGTTCGTAACGTTATAAATTATCGTATTAATAGAGAAAAAATTATCATTACATATATTTACAAACCACTACGATAATAGCACGCAAATTATTATCGATCAACCCAATCATTAAATTTTTTGCATAATCAAAAATAATTTAGTAGAGATCGCATTAGTTTATTGTAATTTTTTTGCTCTTTTGTTTCGTGTTTTGAATTGAACAACTATTTTGTTTTGTTCCTGTTATTAGACTACCAATTATCCTTTAATTTCATTTTTGCCACACTTGTGTATGTGCTGTCCGATTGAAACTATTAATTACGGCAAGTTGACGTTCGCCGTTCGTGTTTTTCGGGAGAGAAAAGCGTGTTCTATACATATTGCGTATATTTTTCGAAAATTTTTCGTCAACCATCACACTAGATTTTGTTGCGGTTTTTGTTTCTCATTTGTTTTCAATTTCGCGTTCTTACCGTCGCCGTTCCTACTCGACTAAATAGCACACTAGATTCGTTTCGCGTCTTTTGTTTCTAACAATATCTCATCGTTGTTCCTCGATCAGAAAGAAAAGTTGATATAAACAAAAAACTGACCATGTTTATGATGTGATGATGTGTTTATATTATAATTGCCACAGTGACAAAACGCTGCTAAATTTTTCCATTTTTCTTTCTTTTTTTTTGCACAACTTAATTATCTATAAATAATTAATGAGAGAAAAAAAAAAGAAAGTAATGGACTACGTAGTTTCTTTTTTCTGTAAAATGTTTGTTTTCGTTTCGATCCTGTGTTCGGCTTGAAATAATTAAAATAATCATATTAATAACAAAATATATACTATTGTCTCTTGTCTCTTTTGATAAGACACGAAGAATTGTTTTATTTTTTGTCAGGAGATAATAAAGAGTTTATCACATCGAAAAGGACAGTTTTATGAACACATACCCCGTCTCTTGTCACCCGATCCCTGCATGTCATTTTTTTTTCAATTCGTAAATTTGAATCGATTTTAAAAAGCTACGAAAAGTAAACGGTTTGTGGTTATAAAACGCGATTATTTTTACTATAAATGTTTTGGTATTATGAAATATTCACATTAAGAATTACAATTTATTGTTACAGCAAAGTTTTCATGAATTATTATTGGTTAATGTAAATACATCTTTAAGGACCCTTAAGCGAAATTACAATTTGTTGTTCATATATACAGGGTGTCTACAGTAGTTTATATAAATTTGTATATTAGTTGACAGTAAATTAAAATACTTAGTTGAAATAGGCGCCCTGTACCTGTATGTACATGTTTAAGCCACTGTTTTTCTGATCGGCCGTTTGATACCTATTTATATCATTTTATTTACGCGTTTTAATTAAATTAAATCGAATAATAATTCGACCGAATATTGTGATATGAAAGTGTGAAATTTCTCGTTGACTGACCATGTTTGTTTGCATAATGTGGCAGACTATGGATATGGTAACTATGAAGGCGGCTACGGTGGCGGAAGAGGTGGTGTGGCACGTGGCAAAGGTACTGATCACTTACAAAAAAAAATTAAAAACAAAATTTAACTATAATTTGCTTTAATAGAAACGTAATATAAAATGCCCTTAGTAAATACCACTACTACTTGACTATTTTATCACTTGTTTTTTATTTTTTCGTTGGTTTACAATTTTAATTTTTTTAGTTTGTCTTACATACTGTTGTGTTATTTTTTTTCTCGTTTTTAAAAGTTCGTAGTCTTGTATATTTGCATTTTGTTCTTCGATGCCACACCAATTACTTTTTATTGTAAACATTAGTCGCGTTAAAATAAAATTAGAACGTAGCATCTTTAAATATTGTTCTTTTGTTACTTCCAATATCAGAAAGTGTTTTGTTATTAAGTGTTTAAATTTGCTATATTTTAACTATTGTTTTAAGTATAAAATCGAAAGTTTTTATTTTTATTGGTGTTGGTTTTTTTCCTGAGACTATTGCTTTTGTTAGTTTTTCACAACTGTAGAGACATTGTCTGTTGTTGTGTATAGAGGGTGGAGATTGTTTCTGTTTTTATCGTCGTATAATACGCCCTATTTGTGTTTTTGTCTTTGTTTTTTTGTCGATGCGATGTTACATTTTTGTTATCTTGTTTTTACAGGTGCTGGAAACTTCACGGGTGGCAAGCAAAGAGGTGGCGGTGGTGGTGGCCGGAATCAGAGGCATCAACCCTATTAAGTTACGTTTCATCATCCATCTCTATCTCGATCAACTACACCCACCTTTAATTTCTTTCTCTGTGCATTGGTACTGTTCGTTCGGTACGTAATTAAAATGCGGTAATTAACTGATTACAGGACGATTACATTTCGTTACAGGTCTCATCCAGTAGCGAGTTAAGAGAACAGGAGTTTAAAAAAAATAATTTGATCATTCCATTTTTATTGTTTTCGCGTCGCCTCATTAATTAAGTAGTGTCCACAGTAACATAAGTTTTTATGTTCGTTGATTTCGTTTTTTTTACAAGAGTCGTCTTTTAATTTTTTTACTGATCAACAAAGAGATTGCGAAAAGTAGCGCATCAACCGAAATGCGAAAAATCTGAAATTAATAAAAGAACGGAAATTAAACAAAAAAAAACAGTCGATTATTTAGTTTTGTCTTTTGTTTATTGCATTGTTGACAAAATACAACAACAAAAAGGAAGAAATAAATACGTTCACGAACGTTCTCAATATTTTTTTAAGATTACCTTAAATTGGTTCCATCATGAAGGACGATTTAATTCATGTTAGAGTGTAAGTAGTGTAATTTAATGATGTATTTAATTGGACTGCCTGGGTCTGTACTTCCGTAAAAAGTTTGAAATAAAGTGTTTTTTGTGTAATATTGTTTGATTCGTGAAAGTAACAATCCATTTGCAAGTTAAATGATAATGAGGCAACGCATGCAATAAGTGAAGTTGATAGTTTAGGAGTGGTGTATTATTAAGTACATAATAAGTATGTTATTTTTAATTTCATATACACCCTTGTCTGCGTATATACATATAAGCCATTACGAAAAAAATTACTGTTATAAAATTACACAAGATTTGATGCCATAGAAAGAAAAAAATTTTATTTAGCCATACGTTGCTAATTTAAGCTAGGTTTTCCGTTATGGTGAAATATTTTACGCGATATGGCAACACGGGGTTCCATTTTTCTTTTTGTTCGAAACTGATGTTAGGTTAAGTGGTATGACAAACTTACCGTTTTGTATATACATATGTTTGATTAAATTTTTACAAAAAACAAGATAATTATAAGATACATTTCTAAGTTCTTACATAACAATTAAAATGTCAGTTGCAGAAATACTTATAAAGACAGTAAATTTTGCTTCGACTAAGCATAAGCACCAAAGAAGAAAAGATGAAGCTCAGACTCCATACATAAATCATCCTTTAGGTAAATAAATAATATAAAATAACAGGAAATCTGTTTACTTGTAATTTATATTTAAGGAGTAGCTTATATACTAACAAGTGAAGCAAAAATTGACAACATACATGTTCTACAAGCAGCAATTCTTCATGATACAGTTGAGGACACGGACACAACATTTGAAGAAATAGAAACTGAATTTGGAGTTGAAGTGTGCAATATTGTCAGGGAAGTTACAGACGACAAGTCCCTTACAAAAGAAACCAGAAAAAAATTGCAAGTAGAGCATGCTCCTAATTCAACCTATGAAGCAAAATTGGTGAAACTTGCAGATAAACTATATAATCTTCGGGATTTAGAAAACAGCCCTCCAGTAGACTGGGATGAGAACAGAATTAATCAATACTTTAATTGGAGTAAACAGGTGGTTGATGGCTTACGGGGAACAAATGAGGCGATGGAGAAATCACTAGATGACATTTTTAAAAGGCATATTAGTTGTGCATAAAAAAGGTATTTAAAGAATTTGTTTCGTTATTTTTCTTTCTGTGTAAATACATTAAGATAATTAAGTAACTGATGAAACGTTTTATTTTAATACAAGAAGCAGTTTTTATTATTATGTGCTAAATTACACAGTAACTAAAATGCAAAATACAGCATAACTTAATATTAGGAAATATATTATTTAAGGGTTCTCATTCTTCTCTCTTTGTGATTCTGTTTTAATACTGTTTTTTTCTACAACTTTTCTCCCAACAAGAGCATAATTAGGCTTGGGTACTGTTGTGGCAACCAATTCCTTTTCCAAATCGATTGGTTCTAGATAATTATCAGTACCTTTGTTGCTTGGTACCTCTACTTTTTTAACTGATATGTCAGCAGGCAGTCCACTCAACTTTCCCTCAATACTTAAAGGACTTGTTCCATTCTTTGTTTCTGTAATCGTAGAAGAAGTCCCGGCCCTTGATAAGATAATCTTTGTATATTTAACAGGGTGTGTTGAGGCTCTTACAGGTACCGATAACGCAGGTCTCTTAAGAGAACTGTTGGTAATAATGATGCTTGTTGGAGTGGATGTGCTGACAGATGACGCGGACGCTGACGATTTGTTCATAAAAATCAATTTTCCTGGTGTGGTAGCAGCAGGAGGCGGAGGTGGTGGAGGTAGAGACGGTTTCGAAATATTTTGCTGGACGAATTCGGTTGGAGCTGGTTGAATGGTGTTGTGTGTCAGCATTTGGTTGTCGTCTGCAAAAATTATTGGAAGATCCATAATATCCTGGGAGGTCAAATTGGTGGGCGGTGATAGAGTAGCATTAAATGATGATACTGGGGCAGTTTGGTTGAGATTCACTGGCTTTTTCACAGGCAGTTGCTTTGACGTTATGTACTTCGTGTAACCTGTAAAATATTAATTAAAAACAGAAACCAAATCAAGTCCTGCTCCTTTACGTGTTGGTCCGACTTGTTGTTTATTCTTGGAAACCGGTAAAATAACAGGAGTGTTTCCGGTTCCCCTAATCATTGTCCCAGAGGACTTTAACTTTCCTTCGGCCATTAACATCATATTACCAAATGAAGTACCGGTGTTATCTTTACCATAATTTCCTGATATTCTGCTCATTTTATTTACGTCTAAGGCTTTCCCATGACTCGAGAAAAACCTTGCTGGTGTTCCAGGAGTGATTGTAACATTATCCAAAACTAAACAACCATTAATAAAATTACATATTAATTATTAACGTTATTTATTAATAAATCGATACCTTTAATGCTAGTTCCTTTGGGAGCGTTACTTTTAAAGTCTTTTTTAATAACACTTCCCGATCCCATTAGCGGGCGTCCTACTCCCATGGCCTGCATTTTAGCAGCTGAAAATAAAATTGATTTATGTATTTGGATCACATATTTTAGTTTAAACATTTATATAGTTCATAAAAAGCACCTGAAGCTATCGTGACCATTTATATTACCTTGAGATGGTTTTAGTGGCGACGTGGATGTGTTTGTAACAGCCAACGACTGAGCGGTATTAGTGGGCGCTTCAAACTTTTGTGTAAGGGGTGATAAGAAGGTGTCAGTAGGTGTTGTCTCAGAAACAGATGATTCGGAAGGTGTAGGTGTTATCACGGGTGGTGGTTTTGGACTTACAGGAGGAGAAATATTAATAATGGGAGGGGTACCTTGGGATAATTGTGTTGCCCAACGAGATTCCAGTTTGTTTTTCGACTTGGATCCTGGAGGTCTTCCAACTAAAAATAAAAAAAAAAAATGTAAATTAATTTCATTTAAATTTAAGTAATTGATTTACCAGGACGAACTATTCTAGGTGTAGGACTAGGAGGTTCACTATCGATGGAACTGTCGTTGGAATTATTTCGTTTCCTTTCAATTTTGATTCTCTTGGGTGCTGACTGGCCCTCTATGGGGAGATTTACAGGTGAATGGCGAATCTGAGGAGGTACCGGTGACAACATAATGCTGCCTATAAACTCCCCAATTTCGTCCTAAAATTTTTTTTGAATCGACAGTTAATATTAATTGTATTTACAATTACTACTTACAACAATGCATCGGTCAACGACGTCTTGTGTGATTCCTTCTGCCTGCTTCTTTTTTTTACTTATGCGCAGGTAATCGTCAGCTGAACCTACGACTATAAGACCCGTTTCTATTCGCATTCTCTCTCTGAGATCTTCCAATTCTTCTTGCCTTAAAAAATGCGCAATAAAGACAAATTTTATTTCCCTGCCTTGTTTTAGAATATGAAACCTACGAAGATCTGTTTGCACACTGTCCACTAACAAAGAGTACCGGACATTGCAATTCTAAGAGACTGTCATCTGGTTCCCCTCGTTTGCCATCTGCAGTAAGCAAGGAGAAACCAACACAAACAACACAAGCCGCATGTTCGACTTGGGCTACTTGAAGGGCTAGAGCTGCTCCCACATTAAATCCAACCAACACAATAGGTCTACCAGGCAGGTCATTTTTGATTTCCTGCACTCTTGTTCTAGTAGCAGCAAGCATTTGGTCTGCACAGTTCATCATGGTCATTCTGTGACTCATATTACCTTTACAAAATATATGAGGTTTAGTTATAAAAATCTTTATATTCTACTTGTATGGAGTTTTACCTATATTTACAGTAATAGGAACGACAGAACTGAGATTGGATAGTAAATTTATCCATTTTTGGTATCTCTTAAAAGGAATTTCCCCTACAGTACTTGGTGATGACGGAGCGACGACTATAACCGGATTCCCCGGAAGTTTCTTTGGCTTATCCTGCATTAAGCTGGACGCAACGGGGTCCCAGGGGCGCTTAAGGAGCATGAATAAGTTTTCATTGCTAACAGCTCCTGTACGACTTGATATGCCCACACTATAAATCATTTTGTCAACAAATGTGGGCAGTTTTGCTTTTAAAGTCTGTAAAAGCTAAACGTTAATATTACTCAATTTTAATATTAATGCTACAGTTCACCTGTAACATGTCTAAATAAATTGTTAGATAAAATCCATTTAAATGGTCAAGTAGCAGTTGATGAAGCCACTGAGTTAACTTTGGATCCCAAGATATTGTAGCTAAAAGTCGTCGAATTCGTTTCACTGACTTTTCTATCACAGTACGTCTTAAAATGGGCTCATTTGTACTATTTTCAAAAGTTAAACGACTTAAACGGTCAGTATTTAAAATATTGACCATTCCATTGAATAGTTTGTGTTGAATTGGGGTCCAATTTATTCTAGATCAATTCACATTATAAATAAATACCAAATTAAATGATAGCTACTTACTTTAATGGAGCAACTGTCTCTTCCCAGTCATCACCTTGGTTTATTTTTAAATTCGCTACGTGTTTTTCGCATTCATCCATAAGACTTCTTGCCTTATTTACATCATATATTGGGGGAGGTTCTGTGGGAACTTCAACAACATCGATCTTTTCATTACAGTTCTGTAGAGGTGCTAAGGGATTGAAAGACCTCTTCCTGGTGTTTTTAACCGGCTTAGGCATGAAAAGGGTCTTTGTTGGCTTAAGAAAGGTGCCCCCGGGGCGCCAATTCCAAGGCCTGGCATAACAATGGTCTACAAATATAGGTCCTTTCTTTTCGTTCGATTCAGCTACTCGGTTTATATTTATTATTGGCGTTATTAAACTACTTTCCGAAGTATCACTTATTTGTAAATGAAAGCTATTTGAACCTTGTGAAGTCATTTCTGAGATTGAAATTATGTCTAAATTCTATAAAAAAAGACAATCACAAAACTTTAAAAATGAGGTTATGCTCAAATGAGAAAAAACACTGTTACCTTGGATATATCGCCAGATTCTGAATCAGTTTCTTCATACATAATTATTTTTATATGATATAAATACACTCAACTTTAATAATTATAATAAAAATATATTTTAACAAACACTTTTATGCAAACAGTAAATAAACGCTTGTTTTAGTTTTGTATTTGTCTGTGTCTCCGTAAACAACTGCAGATGAAGTTTTTTATTAAATAGAATCCATTTCCGTAAATATCTTGATATTAAGCTTTTAGGCAAATTGGATATTTTATTTTATTGTTATTTAGTTTATTGAATACAAGCAATAAATAAATTATAAATTTTCAATTTTTTCCCTAACATTTTGAAATTAGACACTTCCTCAAAAACCATTTTTATATTAAAAAACCGGTACTCGTACGCTCGTGGTCGGTTAGCTGTTTTGTCGTGTATGATTGTTTTGCACAAGATGCACAAAATTTACAACGGTTTTGAGTAAGAGCATAATTTTGAATTTCGAGTTCATGACTATGTGAGTTGTTAAATTTTCAAAATTGATTGGTGCATTAAAACGTTTCTTTATGCAACAGCATATCTTATTGGCCGGTGAATGGGTGAATAAAATTTAGATTTCTGTTGGATTAAGGAAAGAAAAGCTGTAGAAGAGTTAGAACACCAAGAGTCTGCAATTTGTGAGTGAATAAGTGGATTTATTTAAAGGTACTTTGGTTTATTATTTTCTGCCGTTTTTGAGTGTAGTCATTGAAAGTAACGAATTATTTTCTAAAATTAAGTCCAAAGGAATAGGGATAACAAAATACTGGTTCTCTTGTGCCAGTAAAATTGACAACCTTATTATTTCAATAAGGAAGAAACACTTGCAATTGAAAGGTAAAGATGTTGTTTTATGAGTAATTATACTTAAGTTCAACTGAAATATCTTACGTTATTTTAAAAACGGTGATATTGTATTATAGGTTAATAAAAGTCTTAAGTTAATAATTAATTTTTAGACGTTTTCTTAAACAAGCCTTTAAAATACCCATTTGGTAAGACAAAATTAACTTATGCATAACTAATTTTTATTTAATACGTGAACATTTTACACTTGTAATATCGCTAAAATAGGCTGTGCTTAAGATTATATCTTTTTGGTGTCTAAAAATTTTCTTATTAGTTAGTTTATCGAATTGAATGTCAAGAGTATTTTGTTTAGTAAATATCAAGACATAAACTGCCTATCAAAAGATAACCTGTGACAGCCCAATTAATATTAAAACAATTTGTATTATTACAGGACCAAAAATGAGTGGAGCAGAGGGTGATGGCCCTATAGCTAATGAGGGCCCTCCCAATAAACATCTACCACCGAAAAAGCAGACTATTGAAAAGATATATCAGAAAAAATCACAATTGGAACACATTCTACTGCGCCCTGATACCTACATAGGTTCAGTAGAAAGGGTTTCTGAAGTTATGTGGGTGTATGATGACGAGAAGCAAATAATGATTAAAAAGACACTCTCATATGTACCAGGATTGTATAAAATATTTGATGAAATACTCGTTAATGCAGCCGATAATAAACAGAGAGACAAAAAGATGGATTGTATTAAAGTAGAAATAGATTCAGAAAATAATGTTATTTCTGTTTGGAATAATGGTCAGGGCATTCCTGTGGTCATGCACAAGGAAGAAAATATGTATGTTCCAACCATGATATTTGGTCATTTGCTGACGTCGTCAAATTATAATGATGAAGAAGAAAAGGTAACTGGAGGACGTAATGGTTATGGTGCAAAACTTTGTAATATTTTTAGCACTAAATTCACAGTAGAGACTGCCTGTAAGGATTATAAAAAACAATTTAAACAAACGTGGGGCAGCAACATGACTAAAACATCTGAGCCTAAAATTAAAGAATTTTTTGGCGACGATTTTACAAAAATCACTTTCACCCCTGATCTGTCCAAATTTAAAATGAACACTCTTGAAGATGACATAGTACAACTCATGTCACGAAGAGCATATGATGTCGCAGCGTCTACAAGAGGCGTCAAAGTTTTTCTAAATGGTAAGAGATTACCTGTTAAAAACTTTAAAGATTATGTGGATTTGTATATAAAAAATAGAGAAGATGAAGCAGGGAATACCCTAAAGTGCATCTACGAAAATCCAAACGAACGGTGGGAAGTGGCATTGGCGCTCTCCGATATTGGATTTCAACAAGTGTCCTTCGTAAATAGCATTGCGACTACCAAAGGTGGTCGACATGTGGATTACATAGTCGATATGATAGTCAAGCAGCTTATAGAAGTAATTAAGAAAAAGAACAAAGGGGGGGTCGATATAAAACCGTTCAAAGTTAAAGAACACATATGGGTTTTTGTTAACTGCCTAATCGTTAATCCCACATTTGATTCACAAACAAAGGAGCACATGACGTTGCAAATCAAAAATTTCGGATCCAAATGTCAGCTGTCTGAAAAATTCATTAATGCGACTATTAAAAGTGGTATTGTAGAGTCAGTACTTTCTTGGGCGAAATCTAAAGCTCAAAATGAACTTCAAAAGACAAGCGGAAAGAAACAGACAAGACTCAAAGGTATACCAAAGCTAGAAGACGCAAACGAAGCCGGTTCAAAGAACGCTATGAAATGTACCCTGATTCTTACTGAAGGAGATTCGGCCAAAGCCCTGGCAGTTTCCGGGCTTGGGGTTGTCGGTCGAGACTATTACGGTGTCTTTCCTTTGCGTGGTAAACTTCTAAACGTCCGCGAAGCTACGCATAAACAAATACTCGACAATGCGGAAATTAACAGTTTGATAAAGATACTTGGCCTCCAGTACAAGAAAAAATATAACACAGAAGAAGACATGAAGTCTCTCCGTTACGGTAAAGTGATGATTATGGCTGATCAAGATCAGGACGGATCACATATTAAAGGCTTGGTTATTAATTTTATTCATCACTCGTGGCCCGAATTATTAAGGCAAAATTTTCTCGAAGAGTTTATCACGCCGATCGTGAAAGCGTCTAAGAAGAAAGAAGTTATATCGTTTTATTCCTTGCCCGAATTTGAAGAGTGGAAATCAAACACCCCAAATAATAAAACATATAATATTAAATATTACAAAGGTTTGGGAACTTCGTCATCTTTGGAGGCGAAGGAGTACTTTTCAAACATGGCCAGACATAGGATTCGTTTTAGATATACAGGTAAAAAAAATATTATTCCGATTATGAGCTTACTTAATGTAACTAGTTAAATAAAATACGACACAATATAATACAATACAACCATTACAAAGTATTAAAAAATTACAAAACTACCGAATATTATTTATTTTTTAGGTCAACAAGACGATGATCACATAGTGTTGGCGTTCAGCAAGAAACATATAGAACACCGTAAAGAGTGGCTGACGAATTTTATGGTTGAAAGTAAGAGACGCAAAGAGATCGGTCTTCCGGAAAAATATCTCTACACAAAAGATACAAGGTCAGTGTCATACACTGACTTCGTGAATCTCGAATTGGTTCTTTTCTCCAATGGCGACAATGTCAGATCAATTCCGAGTCTAGTAGACGGCCTAAAACCAAGTCAGCGTAAAGTATTGTTTACTTGCTTCAAGAGAAATGACAAAAAAGAAATCAAAGTTGCACAATTGGCTGGTTTGGTAGCCTCTGCTTCCGCCTACCATCACAACGAAGCGAATATCGCCGGAACAATAGTTAATCTTGCCCAGAATTTTGTTGGGAGTAACAATATTAACTTATTGGAACCCCGTGGACAGTTTGGTACTCGATTGAAAGGTGGAAAGGATTGCGCCAGTGCTCGATATATTTTCACAAAAATGTCACCTATAACACGACTAATTTTTCATCCCCAAGACGATCCTCTCCTTCAACATGAATATGATGATAATCAAAAGGTAATTTATTTTAAAAGAATCATATCTTCTTTTTTTATTGCTTGGTAAAATTTTTGTATCTTAATACAATATAAATATGCTCACATAAACTTTTACACCAATTTATTTATTAACTTAACATGACTAATCAAATTATTAAAAGGTTTGGTACCAAAATTACTTCACAAATTTTTACAATTAACTGGGTGGCAGTTTTCAATTGGCGTTTAATTTTCTCTTTCTATTATTAAAAATTTTTCGTGTACTGTGATATAAAAGCATTTTAAGCTTGGGATTAAAAGTGAAGAATACCTTTTGATGTTTAATGAGTATAAAAATAAACAAAATTCATGTACATTCAAGTTTGTTAGTTTTGCTGAAAATCAAAATTAAAATTCAACGCGAATTTTCATTGAATGTAACAGATTTAGATGTATTTATCAAGAGTTTGATTAATAGAAAATAAAGATACTTTTGATTAATTTAATTGTCACACTGATAAAGTACTAGGATAATTAAAAAGCCATTTAGTGAAATTGAAAACTATCAAAAGTGCATATTAGAATTTGTAATTTATAAAAGTATATTTTTAATAATTAGGTAGAACCAGTTTGGTATATTCCAATAATTCCAATGCTTCTGGTTAACGGTGCCGAAGGAATAGGCACAGGATGGATGACGAAAATTCCTAATTATAATCCTCGCGAACTGGTGGCGAATATTAGGCGATTGTTAGACAACGAGGAACCAGTTCGTATGCTACCCTTCTATAAAAATTTTAAAGGCACAATCGAAGATTGCGGCGATTATCGGTATGTTTGCAGCGGTGAAATTGCAGTAATTACTAACGGAAAACTGGAAATCACTGAACTTCCGGTTGGTACGTGGACGCAAATCTACAAGGAAAACACCCTGGAATTGCTTTTATATGGTGAGCACTCTTGTAGTTCTATCTGAAGCTAAATATTATTAAAACTGGTTAAACTACGATAGGTTCGGAGAAACAGAAAGCAGTTATCACGGATTACAAAGAATACAATACCGATACTACCGTACGTTTTGTCGTCAGTACAAACAATTTAGAAGCCCTGGAGAAAGATGGAATTCATAAAGTTTTTAAACTACAAAACATGATCAGCATTAGCTCTATGTGTGTATTCGATGAACTGGGCTGTTTAAGGAGGTAAAATACCAACTTTAATCTACATAAAAATGCAGTTTTTGTTCATTTTTTTTTACAATTAGGTTCGAATCCGTAATGGATATTTTACAAGAATTCTTCACTTTACGGTTAAAATATTACCAAAAGCGTAAAGATTATGTGGAGGGCATATTAGAAGCGGAAGCAGCGAAACTAAGTCATCAAGCCAGATTTATAATGGAAAAATGTAGTGGTCAATTGGTTGTGGAAAACAAAAAACGAAAAACCATAGTGGACGAATTGATACGAAGAGGTTATCCACCTGATCCTGTTCACGACTGGAAGTCCCGCAATCAACCATCTGAAGAAGAAGAAACTCAAGAAGAAGTCGAGGATGAAGAAGAAGATTCCGGGCGTACGAAGAAACCGGAAGATGCAGAAAAATTATTTAAGAAAAATAGCGACGTAAAAAAATTCGACTATCTATTAGGTCTAACAATGTGGATGTTAACAGATGAGAGAAAAAACGAATTGTTACGTCAAAAAGAAACGAAGTTGGCAGAATTAGAGACTTTGAAAAGAAAAACTCCAAGTCATTTGTGGCGTGAAGATCTGGATATCTTCATCCAAAAACTAGATGAATTGGAAGAAAAAGAGCGTCGCGACGAAGCTGGTGGTGTTGATAAAATTAAAGAATCAAAAAAAATGACAGTAAGTTTTAATATTAATACTGGTTTTCATTTCTTGTTAACGTTACCATTATAGGGAAAGAAAAAAAACCTGAACGAAACGTTGCCATCTTCGGTAGGCCAAAGAGTCGTGCCTGTCGTAAGTGATGATCTGAAGAAGAAGGTTCAAGCTGCCTTGAAACTTAAAGAGAACAGGAACAAGAAGGGTGTTAAAAAGGAAAATATTGTCAATGATGTAAGAATTTATTGTAAATGTAATGTTTTTTTTATAACATTGTGGGTTATTGTAGGAGGAAAGGGACGAATTTGACGAAATGGTGAAGGACAAAAAGACAATTAAAGATAAGCTGGGAACACCTGACGAGGTAGTGAAGAAAGTGAAAGCCAAGAAGGGCAAAGATGGCTTTAAACAAACCAAACTGAACTTCAGAGCTAAAGACAAAGGTAAATAATCAATCAAAAAATTTAGGAAGTACAATGTGACATGCTTTTTAAGGCACGACGTAAATTAAAATTGGTGTAGGATTAATTTTTCTTTTTATTTAAGATTCAGAATCTCCGAAGAAACGAGGTAGGAACAAAAAGGTTTCGTCTGACTCAGAAGATGAGGATATATTAAATATTTCGGATGACGATGATGTATCGTTTTCAACGAAACCAACCGTCTCTGAACGTGCAACAAGTAGGCGACAGGTGAGCAAACCAGTAAAATATACGGAGTCCAGTGATGAAGATGGCATATCATCTGGCGGAGAACCAGAACTTTTTGACAATGACGCCGTTAAAGATGACTTCAAACAGCAATCTCTAGAAGTCGGTAGCTCAGGAAGTGATAACGAAGTCTCGCCACCCCCAAAGAAAAACGAGAGTTCTGAAGATCTTTTTGATTCGTTACTGGGTAAGTAGTAATGATCAGCAATAATTAATAATGAATAGGTATTGACTCATTTCATTGGTCTTACGCGTTTTAGGTCGTAAGAAGTCTTCATCACCTCCAGTCGAATCGACGGAAGCAGTTTCGTCATCCGCCGATTCTCCGGTTAAATCGAAGAAAAAGCGTCCTATTAAGAAGTTTAACGATTTTTCAGACTCTGACGACAATTTCATTCCTCCAGAAGAACAACATAATAACGTAACTGACAGTGAAGATGACGATTTCACAACTCGTACAGCTAATAAGAAAACGACAAAGAGAGCAAAAGGGAATGAGGATCATGGAATGTCAGTGAAACCGACTACGACGACTACAACGAAGAAAAGGGCTAAAGCAACAGTCACGACAACTGGTAGCGATGACGATTTTGGATCGTCAACGAAATCGAAGAAAACAGCGCCAAAAAAGAAGAAAAAGTCAACGGAAAGTTCAGACGAAGATTTTGGGCTTCCAAAGCCGGCAAAGAAAAAAGCACCCGCGAAAAGTAAAAGTAAGAAAAAATCCGATGACGACAGTGACATTGATGACGGCGGTTGTTTCAGAGATTACAGTCCCCCTCCGACCAAGATTAGTAGGGTTGCAAAGAAACAGACTAAGTACGTTTTTTCAGACGATGATCTGTCCGATTAATTCGGTAAAAAAAGAACGATATTTAAATTATTTTTTCCTTTTATTGGTTTACGTTGATTTAATCGATTTTTTTTTTGCCGGTCAACTTACGATAAATTTACTTTATATGTAAAAAATTTGCTTTAGATCAGTGACTGACAAAAACGTAGCAAATACGAAAAAAGTGCCGTTTAAAGAAAGTTATAAAGAACAAAACTCAAAAGTCTTAGTGAGGAAAGTCGAATCTCATACTTTATGTGTGTGATTTCGTAAAATTATTTAATAATTTACACTCTTAATAAGAGGAAAAGAAATCTTTTATTCTCGATTTTTAAGAAATAGAAGGATGCTCTGTAAGACTTTTTTGTACAGTATTTCACAAACTGCAAATCTATTTAAATGGCTTTTTTAAATTTTTACTGCTTTCTCATGTTTACGATTAGGCAATTTTAAAAGAAATTTGGCTGGTTCTGTCTTTAGTTAATTATTAAATGGTGAGTCGAAAGCAAATAACTAAAAAATAAAATAAAACGAGAGGACGAGAATGAATACATAATAATACATATAAATGAATAATTAAGCGAATGTACAAATGTCATAGCCCAATAATAACACGAAAAACTACTAATTTTAAATTAACTAATGATAGTGTGTAACCATTACTTTTAATTAGTGATGAGTTCCGCATAAGGAGCTCCCCTCGCCGTAGCGGTTTTAATAGTTGTAATTTTCTTTTTTATAATAAGTATGTGTCTGTCTGTGCGAAATGTAAGAGTGTTTTTAAATAATAACAACCATTATCTATAAATTTTTTCCATGTGTGTATGGGTATGGGTGATATAAGAACACTTACATTAAAAAAATATTTTTAAAATAATCATTATTAATGATTATACGCATAGAAAATATATATAGCAAAACGAAGTTTTACGAACGTCGATGATTAAATAACAAATTAATAAAATGGATCATGTTTTAATAACTTCTTTCGAGTTCTAGAGAGAATGATGACAAAGTGAGACTTTAATAANTACACTAAATTCTATTTTAAACTGTAAATACAGCCTCGGGTGTAAATTGTCCCTGTAAAAACTGCATTTATTCTTTAATTTAGAGTTTGGAACCACTTCAGGAAGAATAATAATTATTTTAGCTAAAATATCCTGAAAATAATTGAAGCAAAACAAATGCAGTCAATTTCAAAAATAAGAAATTAATCTTTCCTGGAATATTTCTTTTCATTTACATTTCGTACTATGGTTATTACCCGCCTTTTTTTCTTTTTTCTCTCAGATGTATCTCCTATATGGCCGACCGTGTTTTTAAATTAAAAGAAAAATACAGTATGAGTAGTCATTTAAGTTTACTCTTGTCGATAACCGAAATTTGGCAAAATAGGAAATGATAATTACTGGAAATGAAGTTTTTGTTGTTGTAGTCATGTCTTTGCTTTTCTTTGCAAGAATGTGAACGCAGTTGTTTGTGATTTTTACTGTTTAATTAATATATTAATATTGCTTCTCTGCAGAATGTTCTATTAAAAAAATTAGAAACACGGTCGGACCATACAGGAGACACTTCCATTTTTCCTGTGATATGTTTATAACAGTTACGTTATGTATGGTTATGTTTCCATTAACAGGAGTGACAGTACATATGCCTAATTTTATTTTATAAATAAAATACATTTTACTTCATTATTATATGCTTCATTTGAGCGTTTATTATGCGCTTCTTTGCAGTCAATTAAGGTAAGAATATACATTCGATTAAAACAGTTCGGTTTAACTTTAACTTGTACTTTTTTACTGGAGAAGCCAAATTCTAAAGACATCATTTTACAGGAACATTATAAAAACTTTGGATACCATATGTTATGGAGCATTCATCATATCAGTCCTTATTCACTCCAGAATATAGCGATACCTAAAGGAAGTATAAAACTGTCTTTTCCACCGGAAACAAAAGTAGTGTGCTGCTGTTGCTAAACGACAGATTCATGACAATGAATTGGAAAGTAACAACATAGGAGATACTTTGCTGATTAATGATATATTGTGTGTCATTTTAAAAATTTGTTTGTATTATTCAACAAATGAAATAGATTGGAGGTTAATTGTGATGTTACTGAGTTAGCCAATGTCTACATGGTCTCATTTTTCTTGAACTTGATTATTGGTTTGCAGTTGATTTCTTTACTTTGCAACATCAAGCGATTAGTTTTCTATCAGTGAAACAACAAAGCAAAAAAGTAATGGTGGCTGTTTTGTCTCAAAAACAGTGCTGATGTATCAATGTATATTACTAGAAATGTAGTGTATGAGCTTTTCTATCAATAATTAGTACCTAACTATGTATTAGTATATGTACGTCCTTTTTGTTGTAAATATCAAATGAATAAACAAATGTTTCATGAAACAATTATTTTATGTAAATTACAAGTGATGTGTAAAAATTACGAAATAAATTTTCTGAATATGTGCAGCATTTTATTTATTTTATTAAAAACCTCTTAGTTGCTTTTAGCTATGATTCTGAAATATTTATTAAAATTGATACTACTAGCGCCATCATATGGTTAAAACATGAACTATGTTGAACATTAGGAAAACTGTAAAAAATTGATTCCGCGGTAAAATCGAAAAAAAGATCTCATGCGACTTATGCTCTCCTAATACAAATGTTGAAATTTATTAAAATTTTCGATTTCGCGACACATACAAGGTCTGATCAACAAAAATCTTGACAGTCTGAAAATTGAAATATTCAAAATTTTCTACATTTGTATTAGGAGAGCATAAGTTGCTTCGGATCTTTTTGAGCTTATACCTCGAAGTCGTACAAATTGTTACAGATTTCTACCTACTGCAGATTTCTGTTATCATTGCAAATTTAGTACTTAACTTGCTCACCGTATGGTGACGCTAGCGGTATAATATTTAAATCTGCTCAAAATAAAACGATTTGCCGAGTTTTTAATGTTTATTAATAACAAGGTTAATACAATACAGCTACGCTTGAATCATTAATGTTTAATTTAATGATAATGTACTGAAAAATACTATACAAATACATATATATATATATATAAAACCAAAAACAAAAATGTAATAGTGCAATAAATACCAAAGGAACATCAGCTTAAAATAACTTTGCAACATATTTTAACATGTTTTAATTATATTTATTGATTATAACAAATCAACCAGTTAAATATTAATATTAATAAGATGTATTTATTTTTATTTCTTTATTTATTTTAGGGTATAACAATTATAATACAAAAAAACAAATGCGTTAATACCACAAATAATTAAAGATACATTAAAACTTACTTTAAGGGAAATATTCTTTAGCATACCGACCTTTGTGCCTCGGCAAGTCTGGTCGCAATTTTCTGGGTATGTACGGTGGTTGACGATTGTCGTAAGTTCTTTTCCATGGATTTTGAAACAGTTCAAATGGCCTGCTTCTCTTATCCATAGGCCTTGTTTTGTGATCAATTTTATATATTTTTTCCCAGTGGTAAATCTCATATGGAAGTCTGTGACGGGGTCTGTTGGAAACTATGAATTTAAATTCCTTTTCTAGCCATTTTCTCTTGTCAGGATCTTCATAATCAGCAACCACTTTTTCCTTGTTACTCAAAAATGGACGAAAGTCTTCCAAGTTTCCAGAAACAACAGGTTGATTCGCATAAAATTTCACCAACATTTTAAGAACGTCTTCATTAAAACCAATTACTTTACCATCTTTGACTTCGTCGAATAATTTTATTGAATCTGTAGACCAACATACGTTACGTTTGGGATTTTCGTGAACATGTTTTGAATGAATAAGTATTGTGTTGAGCTGATAAACGTAGAAGGACCATAATTTGCCATTAGTAATAACACATTGAGTCGTTAAGGGGTATGTGATGTCGTTATATGTTGTAAATCCTTTTGAAACAAACAAAAACAAATCATTATACTGTTAAACTATTCTGTCGATACTTCTTTAATTTACTAACCAAGGTTGTTGGCTTGAGCATTTAACCATCCAAAAGAACCTAAAATACCCTGTCTATGCAGGGCTTCTCTTGTGTAGTTGGGATCCTTATATTGCTTTTCAAGTAGATGACCCCTGAGATTGTATGAAATAGTACCAAACTGATGACTTTCTCCTGGCCAAAAACCTAAATTAAATTTTATTTTAATGAGAAATATGAACACACCTAATAATAATTCCACAACACCTGGGATATTAGTAATTCTTCTATAACTACAGTGAGTTCCCACAGTTCGAGGATCATATTGGAAAAAAGGAACATCCAGTGCTGGATTTTCAGCCTCAGAACTTGATATAATTGGCGCTAAAGGAAAACTACTTCGTACAGTTAGGCTTGGAACACCAATATATTGCATTGCTCTATCAACAGGATCATTTTCTTGATGTTTGGTCCATTCCCTGCCTAAACGTCCTTTTCTAACAGAGTTTGGAGGATTCATACCTCCTGCATACCAAAATGATTCAATGCGTGGTTCAATATCAACCTGTAAAACATACAAACAAGTTATCCATATACGAATATATAAATTATACATTTACAGCATTTACCTACCTGTGAATTTATTATATGTGGATAATTAGAATTAAGAGAATTTAAAAGAATCCTGTTGATTTGATAAATTATATTTTTACTATAAATTTTCTCTAATTCTCCCTTTTCAAGAGTGAAGTCTTCACGTTTTATTTCATGAGATTTCCTTAAAATACAAAATACACTGACAAGTTATTAAATTTTAATTTGAATGTAAATTGTAGTTACTATTTCTTTTTAAACTAAAATTAACAAAAGAAAAAGTAACATACATATAACCTTCATGTTCTAAAATAAGGGCTTCTTCTATATCCTCCTTTATGTCTGGTATCGATGAATCAATATTTATAGTATCATAATAAGAAGGTAAATTGTTTTGATGAATAATATGCGTCCTCGTTATATGTTGAGTAAAGGCTAAATTGTTGTAGGGTATTCTTTCTTCTTCTAACATGTAGCACTTGAAACCATAATACCTCGGCATATTCAGCTTGATCTGTTTTTCTTCAACAGTTTTAACTTTTTTAATTTCTTCATAATAAGCGTCTTTTTTTCTTTCGAGCTTTTTTTCTGGTGAAAGATTAAGTATTGGGGGATACTGAGGCGTTTCAGTGTATTCGGTTTCAATAACTTCTGTAGCAGTAGACAAACGCCCCACACTTAAAACAAGTCTTCTTGTAATTTCTTTTGGCACCCGAGCCAACATTATAACAAAATTTTGCAAACAAATACAATTTACTATTTTTAAACGCTTCAATTATTATATTTCTTAATACTTTAATAACACAAAACTTAAAGGTTATGTGGCCATCTCTAAATTTCAAATTGTTGATACTCATTTAGCCAATGTCTTCTTATGTTGTGTCTCAGGTATCTACCACTATACAAATATTTTAAATGACCAAAAAATTCAGGAAACTCGTTTAACACGAAAATATAATTAAAACGTACGTATAGAGCCTTATTTACTATAAATCTACATATGTATCTAATAACATTACTGTGCTTAGCAATACCACATTAGATTAAAAAGGATCGATTAGGTGGATATACAAGAAACACAAAATAAATGGCAGATGTTAACTTTATTTCAGTGGAAACCTTTTTTTCACAATTTAGTAAAGTGAGAATGTATATTATAGTAGATAAAAAATAACAATCAGTACTTTCCAGTTAAATAAGTAACAAATTTATACAGCTTGCTATATTAATACCAAGGCACTGTGATTTACAACTTGCGGGATCAGAAAAATAAATAATTAAAAACAGACGCAAACTTTGCAGTAGTAATAGTAATGTAGTAGTAGTAGTAGTACTAGATTCAACTTTATAGTTCTTTTTTATTATGACTAGCTGCGGATAAATGCTTAATCTAAGTTTAATTTATTTTATATACGACGATCTATCAAATCTGCTTCATATATTTATATATAAACATGACTATAGGCGAATGAGCGCTTCAAAACGTAACAAAGCTTCCAAACTCTTTAATCCTTTCTACAGTTACTTTTATCAGTCACTCAATAATGAGTATTTAGTTCGCATCTTAATTAAAATCGTTTCTTAACAAAAAAAAAAAACAACAAAACATCTTCGTCACATAATTGTAATGTTAGACTTTCGTTACAATCAAACAGGGGAATCACGGAAGTTGAGATACTGTACCACAAAAGGTAAATATATAAATCCCAGTGGCGTAGTTGCAGGGGAATTACATGAAGGCAACAAGTTAATTTTTTTTAATTAAACGATATTCCAATTTCGCTTTATGTAAACTACATCACAGCCTACAGAGTACGATACTGTCCCCTGTTACATACTTTAAACCAACCACCACTGCAAAAAAAATTAAGTTCAATATGAACTCATTGTCAGCCATTTTTTAAAAAATTAAAAATCGTTGACTAGAAGTAATATTTTCTAAAAAATAAATAAGGAGTGGACAAATTAAAAATTTAATAATAAATTATCGATTAAAAATTATTCTTGTCGTCTGTGAGTCCCCTGCTTAACCTGACGTGTAAGCACGAAGAATTACTTATCTACTTGGAAATTAAAACATAAGCCCCTAGAATTTTGAAAATTAAATATGAGAACAAATAAATAAATTAATTAATAAATATGTTTTACCTTCCAAGCAAATTGTGTATGTAATTTAAACAGTTGAAATAAAAAAATAAAGATAAAAATGAAAATCTAAAATGTACGTACAATGAATACTCGCAAATAGCACTGCATTTTTGACGCTATAACTATACAAATGGTCCCTAGATCCTCCTATTCAAAACCTATTTAAAAGTTTTATAAGCGCTGATTTCTAGGACATCTATCCTTACACCTAACTTCGTTGGTATAAGGCACCTTCTCGGTTAGGCTTTACCGCAATGATTTTTCTTTAACAAATAACCGACAATGACGTAAAAAGATAAAACTGTACTAAGTACACATAACAATTAAAAAAAAATTTTTTTCACCCAGTCAGGGCAAATAAAATCTTAAAAAAACATTATGTACCTACAGGATATTTTTTATAATAAAATAATGTGGGGTCCAGTGTAATATTTGAGTAGTTTAACTTCAAAATCCAAAAGCACATTTCTAAATTTTGAGTATGTTACTAAAAACCCGATTCTATTTAGCGTTCTCCTTATCATACTTATATCATTTTTTACGTCACTCTCGGTAAGTTAAGGACTACAAAGACAACCTAACACAGTTTTGATAACATGTAAACAAAAAAGAATAAGCTGGAAAAATACTTATAACAGTCAGTACATTTTGTGCGCACCAACTAATCAATTTTCTTTATTTCCTCTGCGATATTTTTTATAGCGAAAATTAAAAAAATAACAACAAATTGACGGACAGACGACTTTCTTCTAGTCGAAAAGAAAAATGCGACGTAGATTTTCATGAAGTGACTTCACATATTCTTTTACAAAAATAAAAGTACGGAAGAAGAATTAAATTAGTTTAAACTAATTTATTAATTACTGACGACCTCGAAACGACCGAAACTTGAAATAAATTATGATATTTTGTAAAAAATGCACGTACATTGTATACAGGACCAGGCCGCAAAAATCACTATGGGACGGAAATGACTGACAATTTTTTTTATCATCTCATGGTAGTAGACTCTCAGCCTTCCTGATGATAGATCACAACAAGTAAGTTTTTGTTTGCACCTTAGATACCAGACTGTCAACCATCGATCCCATCACCTACAGGGCGCCAAAAGAATTTCTAACCAGCACGGGCAAGAAGTTATTTCCGTCCTGTAATAAAAAAAAAAAGGATTGTAAACTAGTGATTCTCAATGCGTGGGGTCGCCACCCTAGGGTTCGCGATCATATCGAGAAAAAATGAGAAGCATTATTAAAAAGTTTAATTTATTGAAATAAAATATCAAAAATAACAAANAATATTTTAATGTTTATTTATTTTTATGTAGGTGTGCTAGCGGTAGACATAGAACAAAGTAAGCTTAGTACAGGGTGGAGTCGTTTTTAACAAAAAGAAATCCCTTTGCGTTGCAAGTGCTTCTGATCTAGTTTTCAAGAAATGAGAAAATTGGATCAGGATATGAAGAAGTCGAAGTTCATGTCCAAACAGATTTCAAGAATGGAAACGGGTTAAAAAGAAGCCGAAAATCGCAATCATTCTCTAAGATTACCTAAAAACTCATTTTCGTCAAGACATTTCACCTTATATTACAAATACAGCAGGATTTCACTGAAAATTATTTTGGATTGGAATTAATTGGATCGCAAATGCTAAAAAAACGTTGAGAAACAGCTTTTATAATGACTCCTTCGTTAATAATTATACAATGGTGGATGGCGATTATTTAATTTATTATTATCTCAAATGAAAATAGGGAAAATTTTGAAACTTTCAGTATAAGTAAATTGTATATTAGTTTTTCCCACGGTTTAGATTTAGACACTTTTAACTGATAAAAAACAATTATGTACGTAATTTCTTAAATTATTTTGTAGACAATATGATAAATGTATACGTACGTAGTTGTTTTCTATCGGATTTGCATGTACATTGTACATTACTCACTAAAATCAATAAAATAAATGTTTACTTTCTTTCTTTGATAATATTAAATTTAATAAAATTTACAGATAATATTTGAATTAACAAACAGATTGTAGGCAATTAATTACAAAAAATAGTAAAAAATACGTTACTATATTATTATTGTGATATTTGCTTTTTATTACATGTATTTTCGTGTATTTCTTGTGAGTTCTTGGAGAGAGTTCTTATTATTTATATGAAAAGATGGATGATGGTATCTGTACGAATTTCCCTATACCACGTCGTATTTAAAAAAAAAAAAAACGATGTCGCCCTTTTATGATTGTATGTACCTAGTGACGGCGTATGTGGGGTTCTTCATCCTATTGAGCCCCCCCCCTCTCAAATAATAGAACAAATATTAAACGCGGTTATGTCACCTTATTGTGCTAAAATATTCGGTTATATAATCAAAATTTACTTTCTTGCCCTTTCCAATGGGCAATATGATTGGCTTGGCTCACTGTGGATCTTACGTAAAATTTTAACAACTTCAATTTTGAGAAAAATCTTTCACAAGAAGCCACCGAAATACAAATAATTAGAAAAATTTAAACACAGCGCTAGACTCGGAACAGACTTTGAATAGTCCCATTTTATAATGAAATTTCAGAAGCTCCAAAGTAGTCCATTGGACCGCTTCTTGCAGAAAAATGCTGGCCTAATGTCCTCTGCAGAAAATCCATCATAAATTTTTGTCAAATTTGGAACTACTTCGCGGTTTTAGGCTGAACAACACCAAATGTTATGAGAATATCATTCATAGCCCTTTAACAATAGTTTAATTCTTCATAAAATCTATCAAGACATTCCAACAGCTCTCCTGGAAATGTCAATCGAGCGTCTTGGGCTATTTCTCCTGGCATATGTTCTCGGAATCTCTTCCTTCCTCATTCGACTGAAATATCCAAGTCCTTGCATTTTTCACTTGCGTAAGAAATAGCTCTCTCCACTGTTGTCACCCCTTAGTGCTTGACACCCGTGGATCCCCCCCCCATTGCCCCCCCCCCTCTTTACGTCACCACCGTATGTACCTAATAGAATATTTTCTCAACTCGCGGACTCACCTAGGATCGAGACCTCTAGCATGTATCAATTTATAAATTAATATAATTACTGTACATTGGGTCATTTATGGTTTTAGGTTATTTAACGTTACGTTTTCGGGAATAATTTATTGCTCCAGACAATCTCGATGGCATTGTACGAATTTAAATAAATTTCGAAAATGATTATATACGACGTTTTGTATGGTATGATATACAAATTCCTCTTTTTTTTTTTTAATCCACTTGCAAAATTGCGCATTCCAGGGCGAATTAAAGAATGCCGCCAATTAAAAAGCGGCTTTAAGAAACATAATCTGTAACGTAGAGTTATTTCATTGCATGACACAATCAAAAGTAATGTAATACATATATATTATTACTCTTGTAAGATGTATTTGCAACACAACGTGTACACGTACTGCGAAGGTTATTATTTGTAGATACCGACATGTCGGTAATTTAAATTGTAAATTAATTCGAAACGATTAATGAAACGACCAAGAGATATTAATTTTAATTAAATTATAATAAAATAAATAAATCTGCACGCAAGAGGTTTATGAATATAAACGCAGTTTGTTTCTGTCTTGTGTCGTTCTGATTGTAACAACATTGGAATTCTATGCGAAAAAAAATGTACTAATTAACGTAATTATAATTTATTGTCGAACTGATTAAAATATTGTCTTCAGAGGCAAACACCTCGTCAAACGATTGACTGTTTATTGCTGAACAGTAAATACGAAAAAAGATTTATTAATTTTGTAAACATTATAATATAACTTTAAATATTTTAATGTTTATTTATTTTTATGTAGGTGTGCTAGCGGTAGACATAGAACAAAGTAAGCTTAGTACAGGGTGGAGTCGTTTTTAACAAAAAGAAATCCCTTTGCGTTGCAAGTGCTTCTGATCTAGTTTTCAAGAAATGAGAAAATTGGATCAGGATATGAAGAAGTCGAAGTTCATGTCCAAACAGATTTCAAGAATGGAAACGGGTTAAAAAGAAGCCGAAAATCGCAATCATTCTCTAAGATTACCTAAAAACTCATTTTCGTCAAGACATTTCACCTTATGACATCGTGTCTTGCTTGTATATCATACAAATTAAGATTGATTTGAACCACTATTAAGAGCGAAATCAAAATTTGAAAATTGGCTAAAAAGAAGCCAAAAAATACGAATCATTCCTTTGGATTACGAAAAACCAGTTTTCGTCAAGACATGTCATCTAACGACACCCTGTCCTGCTTGTATACCATACAAATTAAGATTGGCTTTACTACTACAAAGAGCCAAATTGCGCGGTCCAAATTTCAAAATTGGCTAAAATGGAGCCAAAAATACGAACCATTTCTTTGGATTTAATATTTGGTAAATAAAGTACATACCTAGTGTAATTGCGACCCCAGCCTTTGGCGAAACTGATCCTGACGGAATTTCGATCGACCGGTCCGTGACAGGTAGCAAAGTTGTTCCATCCGTAGTTTTGATGAGCTGCCTTGGCCGGATCAAAAATGCACAGGCAATGCTCGGCAGGTACTCGAGTGGGCTCAGTCTCCTCCAGAGTGAGTGAATTCACGAAAACGGGATGATCGGAACGATTGTACATCCAGACACCGTCGTCTTCGTTTGCCAGTGTTACTCCTGAAACAAAAACGATTGAGATTTAAATTAATAAAAAAATATTTTTAAAATAATCATTATTAATGATTATACGCATAGAAAATATATATAGCAAAACGAAGTTTTACGAACGTCGATGATTAAATAACAAATTAATAAAATGGATCATGTTTTAATAACTTCTTTCGAGTTCTAGAGAGAATGATGACAAAGTGAGACTTTAATAAAGGTGACGACAGTGTTATTACCTAATTCTACCACTATTAACGTTTAAAACTGCGAAAAAAATCTGCCGAAACGATATTTGATATTAGACAGTAAAAATTTGCATAATACACATATAAAAGGTTCATAATAAATTAAACAAATTTAAGAATTATACCTAAGCAGGCGCGATATTGATATATTTTGTGATTAAAGTAATTAAAAATTCATTAATGACTGAAATTTGAAACGCCATTCATTATATGAAATATTATACTTATAGACGAAATCGTATGAATTCATACAAGGTGTAACAGATATAAGTGCCGAGATTTGGAGGGTGTAAAGTAGATGTAATAAATTTTTTTAAGAAAATCACAAAAATTTACAATCCGAAGCCGGTCCTGTCCGTGAATTAGCAACATAAACAATTTAGTACAACACATAATATGTCAGAATGACTAAATAAATTAAATAAATACATTACAAGTAGCACTATGTAAATGTACGAACACAAAAGAAAGAAAAAGTGTAATGTGTAATGAAAAAATAAAATAAAAGTTATCGTTACATTACAATAACACCCCTCGTAATCATTAGCTAATTGAGTACAGCATTGCAAGCCGTATTTCTTTACCAGGGCCGGAATTGAATTTATCTGTACTTTCTCGAAAACGGTGAACTTTTGCACATACATTTACTTAATTTTCTTGTTTTATAGTGCTTTATTGCCTTCTGTAAACTCGGCACTTATTTCTGTTGCACCCTGTACAGATATAAAACGAAAAAACAGAACTTACCTAAACCTATCTTACACCTAGTTTTGGCGACGGACCCTGGCGGAGGACTAAAACTATGTTGGGAGAGGGCTAACGTTTCTAAACAAAGACCATCAGCGTACGGTACATCTCCCCAGAAAACGTTGACGTAGGGTAGTTCAACGGGAAATAACGGGCCCACCCTTTTCGCCAACTCCCAATACGCCAACTTGCACCATTCCCTTGGATTCCTAGACGAATCTGTAACAAGCAATAACACAGTCTTTTACAAATGTAAGAAAACGTATTCCGTTTGCAATTCAATAACGCATTACAGGGCTCACAAATTTCAGCATTTGACACTTGGTAAACCTAGAAAAGGGAAGAGAAGGAAGGGAGGGTGTTAAAAGTTATATAAGCTTTTAATCTCCTTATCCCACGATTGTCACTGCATAAAATTGTTTTATTAATATTAAAAGAAGAAATAGCTATACAAACATCATATACCTAAAATACTACAAATGGCGCGGTAAACGCCATCTGTAGTACGATGCTACATTTTAGGATTACGTTTGCTCCAACAAGTCCACTTGTGTGGATATCTACTTGCTGAAACGAATCCCGGCGTAGCTAACCTCAACGTGATAGGCACGTTACCATAATCGAATAAAATAATTCGAAATGGTCTGTATTCTGTCGAAACTGCCAGACGCGGATCGCGATTTCGATCTTTTTGGATCTCATCAGCGCGTCGCAGGTAGCTCCGAAAGAACACAGTGTGTATGTGTATGTTGTATGTTGTAATAAAAAAAAATGTGTCTTCCCCGCCTCAAATATCATCATTGAACCCTCAGAAATAACCAGAAATCGATGACAAAATTTTTGGAGCGATTTTGATCCGGAGCCCCAAATTCTGGACAATTACCGAAAGTAGACTCCCTATTTTGCAGAAACGGTTTCCAGTTCCGATATTTGCTAACGGGATTACCCAAAAAATTGCCATTTCGAAATATTGTAAGCAGATGCCTGTCAGTTTCAGGCAACAGAATGATCGTCTCAAAATCGAAAGTGTTATTATTGAAATTGTGTGCAAGTACAACGCATGTTCGTGCCTACACGTGTTCGTCTAAGTATTATAATATATGCGAACGAATGTGACGACACTCTGTACGGTTCGTGTGTGACATGTTGCGTTATTCGCTTGTGGGTCGGCGTTGCGCGGTTTGGTTTTACGACAGGTGCGTGTCGTGTCATTGACAGGTGCAAGGCGCGAAGAGCAGATCGGCTCGTGACGTCACGTATATGGCGCCTGGCGTCCATATGCTGGCGCCGCGTTCAACCGAATGCCGCTTGCTGATCGATAGGCACAGGCACAAACTACACACACACAAGCCTCATACACAATACACACCTGTTCCAGACCGTTTGCTCTCTTACGCCACGCCATACCATGTCAAGCGATTTTATTTTCTCATTGTAGTGGTTGTTGTCAATTTCACTTGTTATCGCACTGTAACCATCCTCTTTTTTTTGTTGTCTCTTATTCGTACGTTCAATTCACTCGTGATGCGTTCTTACTCTTGTATTATTATCGCAAAAATGAGCAGCTTTTAATCAATCAGGTATACCACCAACATATTTTCTCGTACGTCTGTATATTTGCAATTAAAATAACTATGGGCCGAAGGGATTATCTTCATAATTCCCAACATGTTAAATTAAAAATGTGAAAAAAGGGATCGATCTAGCTAGGGCTCATTTCTGGGAAAACTCCTCTCTTTGTGTTTTACGCGCAAGCAACAAACGTGACTTGCCCAAAAATATGATTACCAATTTTGCAATAGACACAGATACCTTCTCAAAACAGTGCAATGGCTAAAGGGTAGATTTACCATGTTAGAGTTCAGTGTGTTCAAATCCTGCGCTGTGGTCATATCTTCTTAGTTTTTCTTGTATTACGTACAGAACAAAAATTTCGAGTTACAAACTATGAACATCGTGATCAAAACAAGATAGTCAGTCTTAAAATTGATTGAACACGCACCTCTACCCTTTTCTATCTTGAGCTAATATTCGCATCCAGGACATCTCACATCCTTAACTATTTGTCCAGCTTCTGCTTCCAATATGTCTCTAACTAGCCTTTCATGATTGAGACGGTGCTGTACCAAGCTATCTCACCCTTTTGTTATTGACTTCCATAGACTCCTCTGTTCTCCTACCCTTTCTAATACCCCCTCATTTATAACCTTCTCCATCCACGGTATCCTCATCATTCGCTTTTGACGTTACATTTTGAACGCTTCTAGCCTTTTCTTTTCCGCCGCACTCGTACGGTGTCGTGCTCCAAACATACACCACTAACAATCTTTCGAATTTCCGAATTAATCATTCGCGAGCTTAGAAGTGACTTTTTCTTGTTAAAGGGGATTCAACTCTGCGCTATCATTTGTTTTATATCTCTATTGCTTCTTCCATCCTGAATTATCTGACTTCCTACTTACGGAAAATCAGCGACAAAATTTTTTTAACAATATTCTGTGAAACTATATAAAAATCAGCACTTATACTTTAAAAAAAAAACAATTTATGCTTTTACGTAGCTTTAGCACCTAATATCTGCAAATTGGCCCTCGGTAAAAAACCTACTAACACTACTCCATCCCACCCATTTTCTTATTCAGAAAGTAAGTAATGCTTGGCGGTTTTGGAATCTCTACGATACTGACATGTCATTATTCTTATCGTAGATGGCATTTTATCATTTGTTCTGTCAAATTTCATAACATTCATCTTAATGTTTTATTATTAAGTTTTTTTTTTAAAGTATCCTTCCATAATATCCAAAATTACAAGTAAACTTGCCAACCTATGGAAATTGGCATTCAGCCCCAAATATTTAGCGTACACCAATGTGGTGATGTCAACGAGTCTCTCAGCAGTGAGTGACATAGCAGAACAGAACATTGAAATTTGGGAAGGCAAGATAGAAAAATGGGACAGCAGAAGGACAGTGAACATTGCAATCACGGGGCTGGTAACGTCCATTATAAGTCATAATTGGTACCAGTTTATTGACCACATGATACCTGGCAAAACGATGCGCGATGTCATAGCAAAGGTGGCGTGCGACCAAACGATCGGTGCACCTATAAATATTACATCCTTTATCGTTTGCGTAGACTTGCTGGATGGTAAAACGTTTAACAAAATATTGGAGACGTTCCCAGACAAAGCTGTACAACTGTTTATCGCCGATTGTGCCGTTTGGCCCGTTGCGCAAACTATTAACTTCTACTTTGTACCTTCCAACTACAGATTGATCTACTCTACCGTTATCTCCATGTTTTTCGACGCCTACTGTTCACGAATCAACTATTCCAATTAATTAAGCCGGTGACGTTTTTATTAGAAGTGTACAATAAATAGGAAAAATATACGTATGAATAAAACAATGAATTAGTCAGTACAGCATATAAGGTGGGATGTGCATATGTATGTATATTATAAGGTAACTGCTGGTTGTACATAGACGTAAAAGTAAAATGAGTAAAATAAGCAATATTAACACTGTGTCACCAATAAGAACGGATGAATTCCTTACAATATGAATAAGATATTAAAAATTACTTCAATAGCAGCAAATATCCACTAGAGGGCGATACAATGCCTCTATTTGGATATTGCATAAATTTGCAGTTTACGAGCTTCTTTAGTTTAGGTCGGTCAGAAACCAAGCGGCACGGCCTAGAGCAGGGAAGGCGAACCTTTACGTATCGGCGTGCCATTTTTATAAAGAAAAGTTTAATCATGTTATAGACGTGCCATCAAATAACTTTGTCTCTGTGATTAATGCGAATATAATAATAATAAATAATATCAGCTCAAAATTCTTTATTTACTACAAAAAAATAGAAACATTTTGCAGTGTCAAAATTATGCTTGTAATTAAAATTAGAGTAAAATTAGTGTGACTTCTGTTGTTGCAGATTAGATGACAAATAACTTATGTTAGGGTTGGAAGATGTCACTTTTAGCAGAATGCATGCTGAACTGAAGTCATTCGTCAAACGGTTTCTGAAAATTCCTTTATTAAAAAATCAATCACAGAAACAAATTCTTCAGTAGCTTGGTCTTCGTCTAGTTTCTCATGTACCTCTAAATTGTTGTTATATTTTTTCAAATTGGGAAAATACTTGTAGTTGCTTATGATGATATCGTTCCTGAAAACTGGCAGTGTAGCCACAAAAGCGCGAATGACACCTATCATGACGATAATTGTTTTATTTATGCCTTATACGTTTAAATTATTTGACGTGACGTGCCCAAAACATTGTGTTGCGTGCCATTGGTTCGCCATCCCTGGCCTAGAGGTTCAGGCCTTTGTTTAGCTTTCGCGAGGAATTCTGAGTCTGTCTGCCTTGGTCTAATTTTTTTTGTGGTTTCCTTGGATCATTTAGGCAAATGCTGGGGCAGTAATATTTCACAGATAAATAATCTTCTACTGCCTTCATTTCGTCCGTCTCATCTCTCTCACACGAATCACCACACACTCATTCCCACGATTCCTGAAAGGAAGCTGAAGGGGGCCTTCCGCCTTACCTTCCAGCGTAGTCCGGAGGGACTGCCCGCCCATCAGCTGCAGTGGCTGGTGGTAATGAAACATCCAAAAGTTTTTTTTATCGTTTAATGGCATTCGGGAGTCAGCCTGCTCTGGTCCAAGTTTCTCGGATCACTTAGTCACCTATTGGGGCAATAATATGCCACAGTATGGATCTTCGTCAATTTATGTACGAAAGGGGACACTTTACTTTTGAGGCCTGGCAATTATTAAGTATTGCTCGCACATTCGGAAAATTACAACGACTCTGGGCGATATTACAATAACAAACTGGTCGCGATATTTCGCAATAAGTTTCACTCGTACGGTAGTGCGGATCCTGTTAGCAAAATGCAACTTAATTTACATACCTGTCCATTAGATAAGCAACATGAAGATTTAATTGGTTTATTCAGTTAATAGTCACTTAAGCGATGTAATTTATAACCTGCGCGCCGGAGTGTCATCCACAGCACATCTTCTCCTTAAATGCATGTAGTTACGTATGTATTAACTGCAAGAAATCTTCCGCGTCGTTTATTAAATTATTTGTCAAATTATTAGTAGATGTAGAAGTCGTATTAAAATAATCAAAGTAAAATTTGTTACTTTATTTGATACCACGGCTTCGTCCACGTTTATGTCCTAAATACGTGTCAAATATCATCGACGACTACATAAAACGAATTTTTCTATTCCTTGGAAACGGTACTGTTTTTCTGGATAAAAGGTACCCTAGGTCCTTTTCTGTACCCTTGACAATGTCTCTAGAAAATTTCATGATAGGTTTTACCAGCGGCTTAGTTTGCGTTGATGTCTGTTTTAAATATGTGTCAAAAATCATCGACGACCATTTAAAACATTTTTTTTTATCCCCCGGGTAGAGTATTTTGTTTCAGGATAAGGTACCCGATGTCCTTTGTTGTGCTCTTGGCACTGTCTGTACAAAATTTCATGATGATCGGTTCAGTAGTTAAGGAGTGAAATGGTAATAAGCAAAAAATTCGTCACATTACATTCCTCCAAGTTCTCTTTTTTTAATTAGCTAAAATCCTGTTTAATACACGTTAAATGTTAACGAATAATAATTTCCATGCTATTATAAATTTGCATCAATTTTCCTTCTCTATGAAAGATCAGCAAGAGGAATGAAATTTCTTCAGTTGGGCCAGCTTTACTAATAAAAGCCTGGTACATTTATGTTAAAAAATGGTACAATATAACGTTTTATTTGGAAAAGGAGGTAACATTTTGTATATCTTCGTATAAATGTGTACACGTATTAATTTTCATTTGAAACGAAACCTTTTGAAAGTCAAGGACATTTCCGAAATATACAAGTGAGTCATCTGAAATTATAAAATTTATTATACAATGTTTTTAGGTATGATCGCATAGGTAGGCACAACACATAAACGTTTAAGTGAAATAGTACGAGTATATATGGTGACTACAGTTGACAGTATAGTATACACCACACGTGTCTCTTTCTAAATATAAACTGTGCAAAAATTATTATTTATTGGCTTACCAACTAAAGTAGATAAAACCCGCCAACTCATTAAATTTACAAAAAAGTTTTATTTTTGTAAAATTACTTAGAAATATCTTCAAAGATAATTAATGACATAATTCAAAATTATCATTGCAAACATGTAGATAACACTATGTACGATTTGCGCGGATGGTACAATTGTCGATGCGAATATTAGCACTTGTTTTTTCATCATAGCGTTCTTCTGTACCATAATCTACTTAATAATTATGTCGGCGAGTATGTAGCCACTGGCCACTATTATGTCCTATAACAATACCGTGGAAATTGAAAAATTCATGATCGAAAGAAGTTGTAATTTAATGAGAATTTATCGAATTTCTGGCGAATTTAAATCGACACCTAAGCTACTACAATAAACCGAAGAGGTAAATCTAGTAAGGGTGAAAAATAGATTTAATTTAAACAGAACCTAGACGGTGTGATACAATTTTAAAGCTTACGATTAATGACAAAAAAATTGCGCAAAAACATCATTATAATACCAAATTAAACCGAATCATGTGTCAAGACGACAAGATAAAACTAATTTTATCTATCCTTAGGGAACAGTACTTTTTTTCTTGAAAAGATGTACCTACGTCCTCTTTTGTACAACTGACAATGTGTGTTTTAAATTTAATGGCGCGGCTTCGCTTGCGTCGATGTCCTAAATACGTGCCAAGGCTCATCAACGATCACATAAAACTGGAGGTACTAGGAGGTACCCTACGTCTTTTTTTGCACCCCTGATAATGTGTATACAAAATTTCATGATAACTTTTACATGCGGTATCACTCGCGGCATGGCCTAGAGGTCTAGACCATTGTTTAGCATTCGGGAGGCCGCCGGTTCGATCTGCTGTGGTCTCATCTTTCTCACCCGAGCCACCACCCACCCATTCCCACGATTCCTGAAAGGAGGCTGAAGAGGGCCTTCCGCCCTACCTTCCGGTTTAATCCGGAGGGACTGCCCGCCCACCAGCATTAGTGGCTGGTGGGAATGAAACACACAAAAGTTAGATCATTGCTTTAGCTTTCGGGAGGAATTCTGAGTCTGTCTGTTTTGGTCCAAGTTTTTCTCTGATTTCCTTGGATCATTTAGGCAAATGCTGGGGCAGTAATATTCCACAGATAAATAATCTTCCACTGCCTTCTGTCTTCATTTCGTCCGTCCCATCTTTCTCACCCGAACCACCACCCACCCATTCCCACGATTCCTGAAACGAGGCTGAAGAGGGCCTTCCGCCCTGCCCGCCCAACAGCTGTAGTGACTGGTATGAATGAAACACCCAAAAGTTTAAAGTTTTTTTTATCACTCCCGTTGATGTCTTAAATCTAATTTTTCTATCCCTCGAGAACAGTATTGTTTTCTGGATGCAAGCTACTCTATGTCCTTTTATGTACCCCTGACAACATATGTACAAAATTTCATGATGAGGATCAGTAGTTAAACCGTGAAATGGTAGCTAATTATAGGATTACGTTTGGTGGAAGAAATCTTACGGTAGACCCCACAGTTGAACTACCCTTAACGAGGTCAGTAGAACGAATTTTCCATATTGACATAATTAATTGTAACATTTTTCTGTTAAAATAAAACGAAAACTATATGCTATTACACATATACCAACCGTTATGTTTGTTATAAATAGAAGAGCAGATTACATATGTATATGTATCGTATTTTTAATTACTTATACACCCATACATATGTATACATAGGGTAGGCGTCTACCATGATAGAAAATTTACGTATCTGGATATTATTATTACTATTGTTGTTATTGCTTTCAACACTATAGCGGCATTTACGTCATTTAGTTACAATGCTGGCGATTGCCATATTAATAGTAAACACTACTATTAAACAGAAGTGTTTAGGAAGAAGATAGCTTTTTTATAAATTCTATTTGTGCAAACAGTGGTGTCACTTTTGGTGCCAACGATTTGCTAATCAATGATTAACCGTCGCATACTAAACATTATTTATAAACAACAACAAATTCGAGAAAAACGTAATGAAAAATCGCACTTTTTTGCTTTATATATATATAATAATTTATTTACGAAATTCTGCCGATATGAACTAGTATGAAGAACATTATTATATAAATGAGTATAAACCCTTCAGGGGGCGGATAGTACTAATTTTAACTTCATACCGTAATTTACAATATCCGGATAATCAATCTTCCAACACTGAAAACACTACTAAATTCTATTCTACAATCTCATGACTGACTGTTGACATTCCAACATGCCAAAAATGATGTCAGATGTGAATACAGTACATTTACTGAAATTTTTAAAATGTATAAACAT